TCCCCCTCGATCGGCCTTCTCCTCTGTCCCTCCATCATCATCGTCAGGGGGGATCTCCCCTTCTCCCCCACTCCCTTCCTCCAGCGCAGCCTCTTTCATTTCCACACTGACCTGTTCACTCTCACCCTCAGTGAGGAACCAGAGGTCATCAGTGGTGTCCGATACGATGGCCGTGTCCTCCTCCTGTGCAAGAGACAGCTGACACATCAGTTAGATCACCCCTGTTACACTCCAATTTACACTATTTGCCAACAAGTAACTTTGTCTGTTAAGTATTTTTAAAGGTGCAGTCCATGATTCTAATTGATTACACATTTTGTCAAATTCAGTAAAAATTGTCCTTGCGTTCCTCTTACTGAATGCTCCAGTCACCAGTATTGTTGCTGTGATAATGTTTGTCATAAAATCTGGTGGGTGTGGTTGGGCAATCCTAATGGAAGGGAGTTGTGGATTTGTTTAGGTGTTGATGTAAATATAATGATTCTGTTGCCAGAATAATGGACTATACCTTTAAGCTTGAAATCTCCTAAATTAACCCTGACCCAGTTTGTGTTCATTCTGAATATTCTAGTGTTAATCTGAATTTGTAAAAACAAGAGGTTTCTTACTTGGTTTGTGCGGATGTCGGTGGAGCCATTGCTCCTACGGCTATAGTTACTACGGAGATTACCCAGAAACCACCATGGCAGGCCGGAGAGATCCCACTCATCCAGAGTAACATCCAGTTTGGGCCGTTTGCAGGCTGACCGTGGCAGGCCTTCAAGTGAGTCTGGGGAAGTTTTTAAAAGTTAAAAATCTGCATTTTTAACAAGGGATGGTTCTGAGTGTATTTCTGAGCACATAATAAACTGTTTGTTTACCATCGTCTGGCTCCCGAGGTCGTCTCTGGGAGGGGGTCTGCAGGAGAGGCCCATCACTGCTGGCCTCCAGTCCTGCTTTGACCACACCTCCACACATCTACAGAGGGAAGGAGATGTGATAGACAAAAGTTAGAACATAAATCCATGACTGAGTACTTGGAGGACTCACAGCTCCTTTTCAAGATGGCCCCTGGGAGTGAGGTGGTGGTTCAGGGAGCAAGGGGATGGGCAATTAGGTAAGTTAAACCAAATTTAGAAGATAAAAGTGGCAGTGAAACTGTGTAGAGGACAGACAAAAATAAAATAAAACAGACAGAGAAAGGGTAGGAAGGAAACCCAGTGTACTAATTAACACATTATTAAACAGATGAGTTAAAGTATTAAAACAGTTTTAATATGTAGCATGTGCAAACTTAACAAAAGCTATCCAACACACAAAAATTCAATAACTTGTCTTTAAAAAATGGTCTTGTATAGCATAGATCAAAGGAAAGGTGTTCACAAGATGTTTTCACACAAGAAAAGAAACAGAAAGAAATTATAAAGAGGGCCTCTAATGTTTTCCCCACATATTGAAAGTATGATCAGAGATGAAATGTGACAACTCCTTGGAGTGGAATTAGCACATGCAGCAATTACAAGTACAATAACTTCTTTGATTCATAAAGCCTGACTGACATAATAATGTTGACAGAACACACAATAGGTGCTACAAGGTGGATTTCAGAGGGAATCAAAAAGAAGGGTATGGGAACATGGGGAGGGGTCAACAGGTTTAGGGATAGGCCTTGTGGCTGATCAGGAGCTATGATCCTCCAGTTCGGAGCAGAGAAGAGAACTCTGAGACAGACAGAGAGAGGGACTCTGCCCCCCCATCCACTGGATAGAGCTGGTGGGTCGCAAAAGAATGCTGAAAAAAGCCACCACACCAAACCAAGGATGGGGTTGTACAGAGACGGTGCCACTCTGTACAAATGCACACCAACGAAGACAGCAGCCTTAAACCCCTCACCGCATTACACGCAAACAGACAGGAGCTCACTATATGCTCTCAGTGAACTGGTGTCTCACTCCAGCACTGTAGGGTCAGTACTTTATCCTTTGCATCAAACATTTAGATCACCATTTGCATATTTTTGGATTGCACTGAGCCTGCTGATCCTGTCCTTTTGTATTCACATGTTGTGTGTAGTGAGGTGAGAAAGGCTGGGGGTCTCTGTTTCTTCTGAGCACCATGCTTCGGCTTTACCTGACCATGATCCTCCACTCCGCCCTCTACACATTCACGGCCCACAGAAAGATTCTCTGCAGCGTCTGCGTTTCAGATAAGACACAGTAACAGAAAAAGAACACCCCCACCCTTTAATTATAGCATAACACACTCTCTCACTAAGGCCTTCTTCTGTGGCTTTGTAGGAAAATGGTGTTCTTCTGGCCCAATGCAGAATCCCCACAATCTATCACAAGCAGTCATAATGTTTGCAAGAAAAAAGTTTATGTTGCGTCATACAATGGGAATATAGCAGTAAGGAAATCAACATATTCCCAGAGATCTTCACTTGCAAATGAAATATTGAATTAATCAAACATAAATAGAAAAGACAAAACTGAATTTCAAGTCACCACAAACGTAGAGTACACTAACTATACAAAGTATATTCACATATTTCCCCTTGACAAAAACATAATTTCACATTAAGAATATATTAAACATTAAATTGAAGGTGTCACTTACCCGCACAACCAAGTACAACCAAGTACTTCTTGAGCATTTCATACACCGGGCTGTGAAATGAGATCAGTTTAGAATGAGCTTTTATTTAACATGTACAAGTTTAGATACATACCCCAGCATAACTGGATATGACAAAACCAAAGTGTTTGCTATGCCTGAATACCTTGGGTTTTTGACAGAGAAGCTCTCCACTTCCAGCAGCTCTCCCAAAGGGTCATCCTGGCAGTGGACTATATGCTGCCTCTGTTTATCGTACAGTTGCTTCCCCATGATATACTGACCCAAGTAGTGCATCACCTAATCGCAAAACAACACTGAATATTAAATATCGCAAGAAACCTATTTGGTACATTTTTCAAACAGTAAAACAGACTGCATACTGATAAAAAAAAATAAAATAAAAAAAACCTGACGTGTTATCTATCCCTCACCTCTTTGAGCGTAAAGACTTCTTCCTGGGCTCCAGCAACACGCAGAATCTGCAGGAGAGGAGCTTTTGGTTGTACCTGGGAGGAAAGTATCAAGCATGACATTTTAAGGTTGTGTAATCTTAGACCATTATTCATACAAAGTGACTGGCATAGTTTTGTTTTTTATTGTACCTGATTTCCCTCTCCAGGTAGAGTCCTGCATGACGAGCTTGAAGCAGAAGGCTGGGCTGATAGAGAGCTCATAGTAAACGAACAAAATCTAAAAACCAAAATTATAACGTAACAAATTAGACCTCTAATTCCTCATCAAAATCATCATGCAAGTTAACTTATGAGTTCTGCACAATGCCAACACATTATAACAAAGTCAAATTATTGGTAGCCCCAGTTATCCTACCTTAATAACGTTAAACACGATAAAAACTACTTCAAAACGTAAAACGTCGAAGCCCTAGTTTGCCTGAAGATTAACAGAATGTGCCAGAACATACTTTCACTGCTACATGGATGGAGTCGTTGCATCACACTATAATCACATTTCTTTCTGCGACTGTACTCATTGTCTTCAAATACAAAGACCTGTGCAGTCGAGCTAACGTTTTTGGGTTATTACAAAATAGCACAATTACAGGTAACGTTATTACTAGCAGCTGGCAATGTGAACCATAGCATCTGGTTTAACTTTGGAAGGTGGCAAATATCATTACTAGCTAAACTGTTGGCTAGCTAACTAAGCGACTAACGTAACGACGGTGCTAACGTTAGCTAACTTAGCTGGCTAATTCCTGAGCAATACGTTAGTTGAAAATTATCTCACCGTCAGTTGACATTACTTCACATTACATTGTTCCACACGCACTACTGCGTTAACAGCTAGCCCGCAACTTATAAATATACATATAGCTAGTAAAAATCGAGTTTCTAACACTAGCTAACTCTAAAGAACTGACAGGTGAACCAGAAATTCAAAACGATGAATATAGCTACACAACTTCCGGCTGCACAAACAGTAGAATGCCCCGGAACTGAGTTAGCATTTTAGCCTTTCCCGTTCCCTCGCCTCGAAATCAATTTGGTTAGACGCCTGAAATAAGGTCTGTGGTTAATACGAAGTAAATGTATTTTCACCTTTTGTTCGACGACATAAAAACACACCAATAACCACCGCATTCATTATTTTCAAAGCTTATACGTGTCTTTAAAAGAGCAGTTGCTAACTATTAGCTAAATGAGACTACATAACTTGTCGGGGACATTAGACGTCATTACTCCCAACGCGGAAACTTTTGTCAACCGCCAAGAAACAAAAGAAGAACATGAAATCTTCGGGGGGTTTTGTCTTAGTCTTTTAGTCTGTTTTTATTCTATCTGGTGCACACTGGGGGCCACTGAACTGGAATCATATTCCTTCTATTTTTTTACATACTTGGCAATAAAGATTCTGGTTGACTGATTCATAATACTGCCATGTTTAAATTTGATATATACATTTTTCATTGAAAACAACATAATTTTCAGAAAAATAAATTATACAGTATAAGTAAAACAGCCCAGGATAATTCTGTAGTCTCAGCTGTCAGTTGTACTTTTAGCGTAAGTACAGGTACTTCAAAGCTATAGTTGCTATAGTTATTACATACCTGTTCAGGTTCCACTTACTTTCAACCTCTATTAACGCTGTAGGAATAATGTGATAACTTGCATAAGTAATCTCAATATAGGCAGATAGTATTACAAGACTCAAAGCCAGTGATGCCACCATATAAATAAAAATAAAGAGGGTTAGCAGAAACATAATGAAAAACTTTTTTTTTTCTAGGCTAAATCACATGGGACTCTGTGCTAGTCCTCATTGAAAAGACAACTTCAGATCAATGTTCAGTTTGCAAGTGTAAAGAAAACATTTTCAGTGGCTGTAGGAGATTCCAAATCTTTCAAACGGGCATTTGCCCTCTCAACATGAATCTCGTTCTGTGCAATCAGCTTTGGAAAATATGCTTCCCTGTGTCAACTGGCCATGATTGAGGAATGGGAAAATGTTTACTGTGACTCCTTCAGGCAGACCAAAATCAGGTCTACAGGCTTGCAATGGTCCAGAATGCCAGAATCCAGTACTATTTCCCTATCACTTATTCATCCTGGATGAAGTTTGCTGAATTATGTCATAACAGCATTGGTGCAACCCTAAGAAGTAGTTTGAAGGAATGCATACCAAGGTATGCAGAGCAGGTCTCCTTCTGGTTTTCCATTTGTTTGAGGACAGAAAATTTGATGACACTGCAATCCAATATCATTCTGCATTATTGGAACGCAGACTATTTTCTCTGGGCTGGGTACAGTGCTCAATACATCCTTAATTAAGGGTCCCTTATTTTAATTGATACCAAAATTGTGTTTTCTACAATTAGTGACCCACACTTTAGGTCAACACTGAGTTAATATATACATCCGTATTTACAGTGAGCACCCATTTGCACATCTTTATAATCTACTTGTTCATTACTTTTTGTTTTGTTGTGGCTTCAGGAAAGAGGGCACCATGTCTTTTCTATTTGTCTCCTTTTAAGGATACACCACCAGCAGCAGTGGATTGAATAGCAAGGCAATTTGAAATACTTGTCACTGATTAATGCACTGTTAATTATTACAGAAGGCACATTTTCACATTAGCTACCTCTACTTTTTACATGAACATAATCAAATAGTAGAAATGCTGCATTAAAAACCATACTGAATTGATGTAAAAGAGTGTTATTTCATTCAATAAATGCAAACAGTTATAAAATATCTGTACTACAGAGTAGTATAATTCAGAGACTCATCTCTGGTATCTTAGCAGATCACAACTCATGGCCCTTGTATTTTAGAAACATTGCATGTGCAAGGAGGCACAAATGAAATTTTTCACAGTTCTGTAGGTATAGTGCAAAAATAAAGCATTACATCCAGTTAATAGCTTACTGACAGTTGTGTAAATAAAGAAGCATCAAGCGTATGACTTTGCTTTCATATCCGAGTCCACCCAATTGTCCTTGAGAATGTGCCTCTACAGTAGGCACCCTTATTACAATAGCTTATTCACTGGGATATTATTGCCAGGCTACAGCATACAATCCTTGGCCTTCAGCCCTGCATGTGTAAAAGTTACAGTTCTTACACTACAAGTAATAGAAATGGTAGCCAGCCAACATCGAAACAATTTGCATTTCAATGAAGAAAACAAGGTTCTTTGTGATGTCTACACACAATAAACCTAAGATTAGTGCTGTTATTGTGAGAATATTTATTTTGGATGCACCAATATGTCAAAAACCATAAACACTAACTAACAGTAACTTTAAAAAAAATTTATGTCATTATAATTCTGTAAATGTTTTTTCGGCTAATGTTTAGCTGATTGTGGACTGGCATTCTCTAGCAGTTTTTCTGCTGTCGTTTTAGTAATAGAAACAAAGCCAGCAAGCTCTTTAAAAAAGTGATTATTTTACTTGATAGTCACGCCTGGACCTGCGTTAAGCTCAAAAGAGGAATGCATACTGGTATTGGCTGATATGGCCAAAAAGAAAAACAAAAACAAATCAACAAACAAACAAAACTCAAGAGCATCAATGAGTTATTCAGTTAAGCAAAACTATTAAAGTTCAAGTAAAGAGTGTGCGTTAGCATTACTTTCATACTGATAAAATGCTGGGATAAGGTTAAGTTTCACCCCTAAAGCTAAAAACTAAACAAAAAAATGTGCTTTGGCAATAATTCAAGTAATTTTCACCACACATGCAGGGGAGCAGACAATACTGGCTATATGAAGCTGTGCTGCATACAAAAAATTATAATTTCACAATAATGGCAGGCCCATTTAACAATTAGTCCAAATATTTTACCAGGCACTAAAAATTACTTATTATAAACTTCTTTTATTGTTCTTCCTGTAGACATAATTTATCTGGCAGCTAATAATGGTTGCAAGGTCTTGTGAAGTTGGGACTAGTAGTCACTAATTTATCTAGCTTTTGTATTTATATTAATGTACTGATTACTATTACATTACAGTCTTGTCTATTTAACAATAATTATAATGATAAAATGTGAATAATAATATTTTTATATAAGAAAGAACAGTCTTTATTAAAGTTATAATTATTTTTCCAGAAAGAAGTCATTAGTGTTTATTGAAAGGTTTGTATCTATAGTGTAACATCTGATGTTAACATCTGATGTAATTCAATTAAAAATCTGTTCAAATTTGATGTGGAAGAACACAGACTGTGTACTGTATCATAAAAACAGAAACATTGCTAATCAGATACTGACCAATAACATTACTGCTCACAGTAGTTACTATTAAAATGGAGAGAAACTCAGGAATAGGGGGCTGTTTTTTCCTAATTTTAGCGGCTGGTGAAACCAATAAAATGAATGATTACATTTAATTTACAGACTATAAAAACTACTTAACTGACAGCAGATTAAATCTCTGAGCTAAAATACTGGTGATAATTTCCTCTATTCTGTTGCTTAGCTGTTCCCTAACTCTTGATATTTTTTCCAAGTCATAGCCTCAGTACTGTGCTTCTGCAGTCCATCGCAACATAAAAGGCCATCTTGTCTCTGATCAGCATGGAAGGACACATGCGGAGCACAACAGAGCACATATTCAGACTCAGTAGTCTTTACAGAACTCTTTGTGACAGAAACAATAAAAGCTCTGCAGAGAACCCAGAGAGTTTCTCCTCTTCTGCACTGGGTTCTCTCCCCTCCCCAAACCACTGGTTTGTTTGTTTTGCGCAAGCTTCAACTGGTACAAGGAAGCAGTATGAGAAGCCCCCCCGCTGCTGCTGAGTCTTCCAGCCACCAGGGGATAGTGAGAAGTGACAAGCAGATGTTTATCAGCATGTGGGAGCAACAGGAGTGCCGAGACATCTTGAAAGACTGTGTTAAATTTAGTCTTATTCTAAGAGATCCTATGAGGAGACACAACCAATGAAACTGAGTTAACAGATGATCACAAAGTCTTACTAGTACAAGGAATACAAGGGGACATTTACACAGCATACCTGATCTGAATCTTCATTGTACTGTGCTTTTCCTGTCTCCATGTAGTGGGTGTCAATATCATCAAGTCCTTCTATTTTATTAGCTTCAACATGTTCCCTCATAACAGAGTATCGGTGCACAAGGAACCTGATGAGGACATGAGTTCAAATCAAAAACAAAGAGGAGAAAATACATGTGGTGTTTATTGGTGTGTGTGTGGAAAGATAAAACCTGATTAACTGACCGTCCTCCGCAGACGTATTTCTTAACCAGCCAAACACCCGCGACAGCACTCAACACAAGGAAGGCTATGACAACCATCGCTGTGACAGCAGCGTTCAGTGAACTGGTTTCAGTCTGCTATAGAAACAGAGAAAGGGCTCAAACTGTGAAGAATACACAGCATCACTGATATAAGATGTTTCCGATTTCATGTCACTCAGCTGTACATGTACTCTCACTGGATGATTAGACAAGGGTGGATATTATTGCTTATAATTACTGACCAGATAACTTGGGTAAAGGGTGTTGCTGGTGCACATCCTCCTTAGGTTGGTCTCCTTCCTGTCTGGCTGGAAACCTCCCTCACACTGGTCTCCTGGAATCTTCCGGTACCTTAAATGGGAGTGAAAGAGAGAGCGAGAGAGAGAGACATTAAAGGTGAGAAAATTTACTGAAAAGGACACAGGCAGGGAAGCAGAAGAGCTGCAAAGATTGAAGATTGATTGCGTGGGTTTTCTCCGGGTACTCCGGCTTCCTCCCACAGTCCAAAGCAGGTTGACTGGCGACTCTAAATTGCCCGTAGGAGTGAGTGTGGGTGTGTGGTTGTCTGTCTCTATGTGTCGTGTCAGCGCTGTGATAGACTGGCAAACTGTCCAGGGTGTACCCGGCCTCTCCCCCAATATCAGCTGGGACTGGCTCCAGGCCCTGTGACCCTGTTCAGGAATAAGTGGTACAGATAATGGATGGATGCTCATGTAACCTAAAAACCGAAATGCACAGAGCTAAGACATCACCAAAAATTCTATGTATTCCCTTAAAAAAATTGACTGAAGTGGCTCTGGAAGCGCTGCTTGAATTAACTGTTTTGCTGCCAGTTTTCTTCCAAATAAGAACAACTGTGTGAGAGATTCACGAAAAAAATTAATCAATAAAAAACCAGAGATTCTCACCCGCTGGTCTGGAGCTGTTCGGTTGTCCCATTTAAACAGAATTCCAGAGGACGGTCCCTCATCTCCTCCTGCTCTACACACTCCGAGCTGTTCTCTGGTCGGTAGTATCCAAAGTCACTGCAAGACAAAGCTGGGTCAGCTGTAGTACAACTGCATACCATGAAATGTATTGAACTTTGCCAAAATAGCAAGCAGAAGTAGATCAAATATTAGAAAAAAAAAACAAACGTTTGAGGGTCACACACAATTCTTATACTGCAAGTCCATTGCTGTTCTCATGAAAATCGAAGCCTGATCTTGTGTTCTAACATAAGTGGGTTTGGAAAGTTCTACAAAATGGTCAAACTGTGACGAATTTCCTCTAAAATCCATCACATAAACTAAAAAAAAATGCTTATGCATAACACAAAATCCAAAGAGGATATGACAGGAACAAAGACAAACCAGTGATAATCATCCAGTGTACATGGACAGGGAGACAGTTTCTTAGTGACAGCATAGTCCCTCCCATTCCAGCAGACAGAGGCTTTCCTCGGGCGCAAGAAGGTCTCTTTATAGCCCAGCACACAGCCATCATTTGATCCACTGGGGTCTGCAGAGTGAGCCAGCCACTGTACATAGTCCCCTTCAGTGCCTGCACATGCATACATGCATACAAACTAAGTCTAAAGGTCCAAGAACTTGATGTAACACCAATGTAACGTCACCCTTCTTCTCCCACATACTCACAGTCTCTGGTGAGGAGCTTTCTAAAGTCGATGGTGATCACCACCCATTTACTGAAGTCATTCCTGTAGCCCCACAGGCTGACGTTCATGGAGCGAGAGCCAGGCTCGCTGTCCATACCGCTGAAGTGAAGTGGGTCACTGGTGAAGTTATACGTATGCCAGCACTGCCCTTCATCTGTTGAAAACCTAAGGAGGGTACAAACAAGGAATGGGAAGGGGGAAACAATAGCCCACAAAGCAAAACAACAGGGATATTTTATAAAATCACAAACAAACACTATGGTGAAGTTATCCTCACTTGATCTGGTTGACAGGTGAGTTGGTGTGCTCCACAGCCACCAGCAGCCCCCCGGAGTCCAGGATAGCATAGTGATGAGGGCCCCTGAGGGCCAACAGCCATGAGTAGCCACCGTCGTCAGACACATATACATCAGGCAAGAGAGCGGACTCTACGTCTCCAACGCTGCCTGGAGAAAGGGAGAGCGATGGCCTTAATAAACACTGCCTTAAATGACTGTGACAAAAGATGTTTGTGTATGTCTGTGTGTTATACCATGGGCCAGGATGAGGCCCACAGCATTGGGCTGTGAGAGAGGCAGCATGGGGACATTCATTTTCATGGTGGTGCTGTAGGAGGCGTGGATGTGCAGCCTGCACTGTAAAGACACAAGAGTGAAGGAGATGTCGGTATTATGTTATATCCTCATTGCTGAGGTGTTACAGGTGGGAACATACTTACTGTGGAGAGTTTATTTTAAAACAGAAAAAGATACAATGTAATTGCAAACATCATAAAAAATACATACTGGTACAAACCATAAACATATATAAACCATTACAACCTGTCAATTGGGTAAATAAGCTGGAGCTGGAAACAGAAAACAAAATAAAACAGGATGTAACACAATGAACATTTACAACTCTTACCCTGTTTGGCCTGTTAGTAGAGGTCTCAGTGTCACAGCGGCTGTTCAGTGGTCTGCGCAGCGTCTGCCACTTTGCTCCTTGGTCAAAGGTGATCACTGTCTCCACTATCCCATCTGCAAAAACAACACAACAAAAAGTCACAACATTTGCTTCCATTACTATCAAGAGCAAAGTAGCTGTTTCTAGCTTAAAGCCCGCAGTGGTGTTCTCCCAAGATAAGTGGGCAGTACTACGAGGTTCAGACAACTGTTTTCTCTTTTGACATGCTTCGGAAGGACAAAAATAAATATTACTCATTGAACATGTAATGACAAAGTGTTACAGTGTATGGACCCACCCTCTGTGAGCACGCTGGTCATGTAGACGCCCCTGAGTGAAGTAATGGCAGAGAAGTCAGTGTCACTTCCAGTGGTTGTGTGGAGATGGCGCTCCAGAGATTTAGAGAACACAATTCCTCTGTCACCCGACACATAAATGGTTCCAACACCGGAGTCTGCTCCGTACCATACACAAAGCACACACACACACCACATGGGTTTGGATTCTGTACTCTCACACCTCTATTGATCTTCACAGAGAACACTTTGCTACTGGGATGGTCTTTTTTTAACCTGACCTCCAGGATCATCCACGTGCATGAACACCATGTCCTGATTCACAGCCAGGATGGAGTAGAACTGCTCATGGCTGACTGCAGGGAGCTGAGCCACGTTCCACGCCTCACCTTCGTCCGTTGACACATGAATCTGACGCTCTGTACCCTGAAACACACATATGCAAATGTACTGATTAGAATGTACTGCTTAGTAACTGCACCCTACTGGAAGTGTACATTAGTAATACATTCATTATGAGATTCACTGTATATTAAAGGGGAGCACACAGAAATGCATACAATCTATTATACACACACAGTGCTGTATCAAGAACCATGTATAAGTGCAAGGCAGAATCACAGAAACATATTCTCCTCTCAGAAGCAATAAAAGAAGCAAACAGACACACAGATGGACATACCACGCCAGTCATGATGGAAGCAAATACAAATCTCCCTCCCAGTACAAAGGAGAAAACTCTTTTCGCGACTGTCACGAAACTTCGCCCATAGTCTGCTGACTTTCTTAACTCCAACGTTCCCTTATCATCTGACAGGAACAAAGTGGGGTTACTAGATGTATTATTCAGTTTAAAATGTATTGAAATATATGTGGGACTATTTTATTTTCACTTACTGCATGATCCGTTGTAGTTTGTTGTAAAGTAGATTTTGTTCTTTGGACCCCTGTATGTGAGAAAAAGAAACTGTGACAAAGGGGATCGGGAGGGGAGGACCACTTTTTTTTTTTTTACATCTGAAAGTTGTCTGACTATAAATGTAAATCCACTTTTGGAATTTGTAGCGATCACAGATTACAGCTGCTGTTTTTATTACGTGCTATGTGAGCAAGGCACAAGCTGTGCTCCAAGCCCCCTCTGGGTTTGTTCGCTGCCAAAGGAGACAAAGGTTTTTACACTGCAAAGATTCTGCTGGTTCAATGACTGTGGCCTGAATAAGAATGCCTCTGCTGACTCATGATTCACTCTGACAGCAGTCTCAGCTCCTTCACTCGGCAGTCAGTTCAGGCAGGGGCCTTATATGACAGCTGTGGTCACTCAGAGCTGTCACACTGTTCCCGTAATGTAGCACTAACAGTGGCAGGCTGGCACCGCAAAGTCAGGTGAGCTCAAATGAAACCAGAGAGGGAAAGTGACTGGAACTGTGGTGATACCAACAATGGACAAACAGCACACACTTCAGTAATATCAAGAAAGTTATCAACTAAGTCACATATGTAGGCAGTGCAGAAACATACAAGGACAAAGCTGGTTCACAGCCTGTTACATGTTGTTGTTCCCACTCTAAACCATTCACACATGGATGACTGACAAATATATATGTATATATATATGCATGAATGCATAAAAAGAAAAACGTTATTAGAACTGCACAAAAATTATTTGTGAGAATGGGGGCAAAGAGGGGAGAGAGGGCTATGTATGTTTTTCCTTTACTGAATGGAGGGAACAGGTCTTTGAATTCTCCATTGCCCAGATATATATTTCATTTCATCCTTTTCTAGTGACAGTTACTGTTTGCTGATTTACTGCATGGGCCTTAAAAATGTGTTTTCCATCTGCAGAGCAGAACGATGACGTTTCAGGATCGCTTATTCAGTGGCAGGGGTAATAACTGTTCATTTGACAGCGTGTGGTTAAAAAGCAGAAACCAGGAATGCTGGGTAAACGAAACACAACATTTGTCATGTTTGTATGCACATTTTTTAAACTCAAGGACAAGGTCAGTTTTTATAATTTAGGTCAAAGCTGACATTTGATGTAATAATAAATAAATAATACATTTTATTTTTATAGCACTTTTCAAAACATATTTAAAAAGTGCTGCACAATTAAAACTTAAAGAATAGGAATACTGTGCAGGGATTCACATACACACATATGTAAACATATATCTACACACATATGCACAAGTAAAGGGCAAACTCACCATCTGACCAAACACACACTGTCATGAATCTTCCTCCAGGTGGCGCCAAAGTCCTTAGACAGCCAGAGATCCAACTGGGGGGGAAAAAGCTTAGTAAGTTAAAAAAAAAAAAAAAAAAAAAAAACAAAGTCCGAAATAGAGGTTGAGCATCAAATTACGAGCTTCACCTTACTTTACTAAAACTCAAAACTCCTGACAAAAACTGTAGGAACTCAGACTTTGGTGTGGGCTTAATGCCAATACCGTCACACTGATTGTCAGAAGAGTGTTGCAGTCTCCAGGGTTGTACAACATCTGAATCAAGGGCTGAAATGGCAGATCAGTCGGGACAAAGGTCAGGCCAAAGTCTTGTGAGCGAAACAGTCGAAATCTCCCTGTTTCTGACACGCCACCAGTCAGAATCACCTGAAACCAAATGCACACAGAGAGAAAACAGTCAAAGATCTTAACCATCTAACGGTGTTTCTTTTCCCCAGATGTGTTCACCTTGCCAGAGTGGTCAGGACTGATGGCGATACCAAATTCAGTCTGGATGAACGTGTGGTTGATGAGGTGAGTCACTTCTTCAAATGTCTTCCCGTAGTCTTCACTGGTGCAGAGGCAAAGTTGCACTTAGGTGCTTTGAACATGGCAAATAATTTAATACTCCATTTCCATTCATTGTGCAATTACCCATCAGTCATTTCTCACCTCCTGTAGAGGTTAGACTGGCCATAACGCATCATGAACAATGGAACCTGAAACGTCGTCAAGACCAGGAGCACCTGAGAGGAGAGAGATTACTGGAAGTGTTAGACAACAATCTGTACAACATTTACATACTCTATTGGACATAAACAAACTCACCCCTGATCCATCTCCCACCCAGGCCAGCGACAGTGATCCCATGGTTCTCACTCTGAAGGTGAACTGAAATGTGAGAAAAAGCTAACTAAAGTGACTTTTTTAAAGAAAATAAAGAATCATTCCAGCACATTATTTTTTTTGACTGAGGCTGACAGAAGATAGTTTGAAATACAGTATGTGGGGGTACTGCTTGCTCAGTACCATGTCAGAACATCAACGGAAGAACACACAAACCCAAGAGTTCAGAGTTCAGGCTGAAACATACAACTCACAAAGGAGTTTGTGCATTTCTGTCATTCACTGCACACTAGACACAGCAGGCAAAAGGACAGAATGAATTGTCCTTACTGTCCAAAGTAACTCGGCCATTTGGATGCACTCTGCGTGCGACCTACATTCCCGCCTAAATGACAAAGTTGGGGCCTGAGAACAAGACAATTACTGACATCCAGGGCACAGTGGGAACACACAGACAGACCCATACAGTACAGAGACTGAATATAATTTGTTAACCTTAATGTTTGGACATTCACTGAAAAAAATCCTAGGCTATGGAGAATTAAAGGTTCACAGTATAGTCAGAGGTAACGAGTAAGTGTTTCGACCTGAACTTCACAATAGTGAAGTTTGGACATTTGAGAAACATATTTAGCCACGATCCACGTTTTTTGGAGTCTGAGGAATGTTTCTCACCTCCTCTATTTAGATGGCAGGGCTGAGATGTTTATAAGGTGAGCCCCATCCTGGAGAGTCTGCATACTGCTCTTATAAAGCCACAAGAGATGGCAAAGTCTGGAAAACTCCTTGTAAATAGGTCTGCTGGAAACTGGCCTGCTAGGCCTGTCCAAGTGTGTGACCACAACTTTCCATCTCTCCTCTACATGATTCATTTCCTCACACCCTCACTGCATCTATGTGTTCTTTGGTTTCTTGATCACACAAATGTTTGACAGCCTCTCCTCCCTCCCTGATCTGTTGTTTAGTTCATGAATGTAAATCATGACATGACGAGTGACAGGTTTGGATGCACAAAGTTTCGCTTGTATTGCCTACATTGGATGTCAGAAGTGTCAATGGGTGTGTGTCCACCAGAAGGTTCCCTTTTCATTCCCTGAGGTAAATGTCCGTCCACCGCTTTATGCTTTGGATTTCTACAGCAGGCCCGAAGCACAGGGAAGGTTAAACAAATTTGTCCACTTACGCAAAAGTGCAACGGTTGATAATGGGGTGTTACATATACCGTGTGTACAAAGCTGTGCAATATTTGACCAATCAGCAATGTTCAGCACTGCATCGATAGTTCAGGTCAAAGCCAAAGCACTTTTGACCTGATGATGGCCCAAGATAAAATGTCAAAGAATTAAAATTATTACCACTGAGCCCAACTGTCATTGTAAATCATCCAACCATCAACTAGTCCCTAAACATAAAGTCAGGAATCATGCTCTGGGGGCTCTTGTCATATACAGTATGTCAACTGAAAGTGATGAAGACATTTTTCACTGTCAAATATCAGTTCTTTGGTAACTAAAGAGATCAGCCTGGTGTTTTCCACATCTCTTCATCTGAAACCTTCAATGGGACTGAAACCCAAACAATCAGCAATTGCATTATAATGCAGGTCAGCTGAAGGAACGGCTAAGAGCGCCGTGACTGAGTGGAACCTGCTGTTTTATATCAGTAGAACAGGGTAAGATAACATCATGTGGATTAAGGAAGCTGTGGTAACGCTAAAGACTGCTCTGTCCTGTGCTGTGATGGGGATAACAGAGGGGTAGAAGGAGACGGTAAAAAGAAGGAAGAGTATTTTAGTCAGCAAATATTCAAGAGATTAACGTCTGAACTGGTGGGACATGGCCTCACAATCAGACATGACCTCATGCTGTGTCGTGATGTATCTACGGGCCCACATGTGCTCTGAAAAGACATCTTTATAATGCTTCAGAGGAGGAGGCCAAATGCTCATGCTCTGATCTAACACATGAAGCTGTGGACACCAGTCCTCTGATGTTGGGATATGTTTTGCAAGAAGAGACTGCAAGCTGGGTTTCATTTATTATTACTGTTCAAGAAAACGAGAAGAGAGAAGCTGTGGTGGGGAGAACTGCAACTGACCATTTTTGGTTAATTACAACCCCAAATCAGAAAAAGTGGGGATGGTTTGTAAAGTCAAAATTAAAACTGAAAATAGTGATTTGTAAATGCATGACATTGAAAACAACACAGCAGCTCATTATTTGATGTGACACCTCATCAGTTTTATTCTTTGTTCAAAACAAACACTCACTTCAATCCTGATGCTGCAACACTTTCCAAAAAAAGTTGGGATGCTGCATTTCAGGGCTGGTAATGAGGTAAAACAATGAAATGATGATTTCATTTGAAACAAGTGATGTCAACAGGTCACTCCATCATGATTTGGTAGAAAAGTGGCATCAGGAAAGGCTGAACCCATTGAGCAAAGATGGGCTGAGGACCGCCAGTTTGACAACGTGTGTGAGAGAATTATTGAAATGTTTTAAAACAATGTTCCTCAAGGAAAGATAGAGATTTGGATATATCACCCTTTACGGTGCAGAACATAATTAAAGGATTCAAGGAATCTGGAGGGATTTCAGTGGGTAAAGAACAAGGACACAATCCTAAGCTAGATGACTGTGCTCTCCGCTTCCTCAGACGCCACTGCATCAAGAATTGTCACTCTTCTATAAGCGATATAACCACATGGGCTCAGGATTACTTTGGCACACCTGTGTCAGGCACTACAATAGTCACATCCTTAAATGCTGCTTAAAACTGTGCTGTGCCAAAAGGAAGTCCTATGTCAACAGTGTCCAGAGGCGCAGTCGACTCCTCTGGGATGGACCATCACACGGTGGAAATGTGTACTGTGATCAGACGGATCAGTATTTCAGGTCTCTGTTGGAAGGAATGGACACAATGTGCTCCGGACCAAAGACGAAAAGGATCATCCAGACTGTTACTAGCAACAAGTCCAAAAGCCAGGGTCTGTCATGGGGGATTGTGTCAGTGCCCTTGGCAAAGGTCACTTACACGCATAGAGATGTTGGAGCAACATGTGCTGCCTTCACGATGACATCTTTTCCAGGGATGCCAAAGCATATTTCAGCAAGACGACCCAGGACTGTTGTGTACTTAAGACTTGTTTGTAAGAGAAATGGGACAAAGTGACACCTGGTACACTTAATCACTTGGTGTCCTCAGTCCCTAAACATCTAAAAGTGCTGTAAAAAAAAACAGCAACATCACAATGTGGTAAACACTTTACTGTTCCAACTTTTTTGGAATGTGATGCAGGATTGATGTGTTTATTTTGAACATAGAATAAAACTGATAAAGTATGACATCAAATAATGTTCTGCTATGTTGTTTTCAATGTCATACAGGACACAGATGATTTGCACATCACTATTTTCAGTTTTAATTTTGATTTTACATACCATCCCAACGTTTTCTGATTTGGGGTCATAACCAATCAGAGATAATATCACAATTTCAATCTAGAATTAAATGACTAGTCACTTTATTATTGAGTCAAACAACACAAACTTGATTCTGAACAATTTCAGCATTTGATAAATAGCTGTAGAATCTTAGTCTTCTAAACCATTTTATGATCAAACTATTAACTGATTCATTGTGTTCTTTAGTTTCAGCGTCAATGACTCAACAAAAATTGTAGCTGATTAGTTTCCTGTACTCAAATCAACTGTTAGCATTAAAGTGTGGATGCAGTTTAATACAAACTCAGACTATACACACGCTTCTTCACCTTAGAAGGCTAAAGATGGGGAATTTCAGCCAACAAGTGACTCTCTTGTTTTCACTACTTTGTTGTTCTCATTGGATGTTGCTCAACAAACCCATACTTTCCAAAAATCTCTCTCAGCGAGTCTGCCTGCTTCCCCTTGCACTACATACGAAACATCAGCTCTGCTGCTTTTCTTGGTGCTGCAACAGCTGGCTGCAACCCAGTTACACTTTACCCTGAAAATAGAACCTGTTTTTGGACTGGGGGGGAGACAAGACAGGATGGATTTGGGACAGAAAAGGAGAAAAAAAAAACAGCAAGTCAGTTGTAAACCAGGCCAAGTGAGCTACATTAACCTCCACAAACATGCATAGCAAGGGAAGATGACACAGATCCACTGTAATCTCTTAGGCCTAAAACAGAATGAGTGGCTTACTTCTGTCTGACCCGCAGCTCTGAAAAGAGAAAAGTCAGATTTAAGTCCAAGCTGATGCTCAGGTCAAGTTTAGGAGAAAAAAAAAACATGGTGAAAGTCTGTGAGGGGGGGGGGAGGTCCAGAGGAGATGGGAAGCGTCAGCTCTCCATGAGCATGCCAAGTCGTTTTCATGCTCAAACGCTTGTCCAAGTGTCTCAGTCACAGAAATTATGTAACAACCACTTCTTCCATTGCTCACACACACTCACACACACACTACAGGAGGACCGTCCTGTGGAGCCATGTAGCTTTGGCCCAACTTATTATTCTTGAACATTCCTATGGACATCAGGCTTGTTCCTAAAGTGCTTCCTGTTACAACATGTTCAGTACTAAAATAACACAAAGCGTTGCTGAGTCTGTACGTAAAAGGATTAAGACTTTTAAAAAAAATCTGCTTTATTGACAGATTCTGAGCAAAAGCTCTGAATTCTGAGATTAAAGTCAAACTTTCATGAACTTCACAGTGGCCCTAGTCCAATTTCATAGTTATGACATGATGATAAAGGTTTCAAGACTGAAAAAAAGATATTTTTAAAGTCCTGAACGGAAAAAGACATCAATTTGCAGTATCAACAGACTTTCAAGATCCTCCTGTTAAACAACACAACTAAATGTGTATGAATGTCTGTAGTTATGAACTCCATCCACTTTGTATCATTTGACCATAACTCAGAATCTGACCTGTACTGATGGCCTACATTAATACTGATCAATGTAACATGTGCAATTGAAACAAGCTGATCATCAGGCAATCAATCAATATTTTTGATCATTTAAAAACATAGCCAGATTCACTTTCACCAGTGTTTGCTAATACTATGTTTTTTATTGGAAATGAATCTGTGATCCTTTCTAAAAGGTTTTCAAGCAAACATGCCAACTATTCTAGTTCAGCTTGTCACATGGGAGGATCTGCTTCTTCTCTTTTTCTCTGACAGTAAATTGAATATGTTTAATTTCTGAAATGCTCAGATAAAACAATGTACCATGGAGAAATAGTACATGGCATTTCACTGTTTTTAAAAATATTATTTAGACTACACACTTAATAGAGAAAACAGGTTGCAGATTAATTAATAACAGAAAAAAATCACCCTAATTTGTATATCAGAGTTTTGACCTGTCAGTTAGACCAAACAAGATGTCACCTTGGGATCTGTGAAACTGACCTTTTAATGGTTTAATCAATCACATAACTAACAATAATTCAAAATAATCATTTTCAACACTTCTAACAACATTTAGGAGACTACAATGAGACTTTATTAGGGCTGCAAGTAGTGATGATCATTTCTGATAATTCTGCCAATATTAGTTTAATAGTTTGGTCAATAGCTTGTGAAACTGCAGACGAAAAACTAAATCCTCATATTTAAGAATCCTGAATTTTTCCTTTTACCATTAGTCTATTTTAAACCCCTTTTAAAAGATCCAAGATCGACTGATAGTTTTCCATCTTATTGTCAGTTATCAGTTTTTACTTTAGTTTTCTCCTCAGTCACATCACAGACTGATGTCAAACCTACAGCAGAAAATCATCCTGTTGGACAATATCGCATTAAACACTCTAAAATGTTCATTTTTGTGATATGAATAGTGTCTGGAAGTTGTTTCCAGGACTTTAATTTTAGCAGCTCCATGTGCTGAGTTGACTGTAGACAGGCTGAAAAGGGAGTCACCTCCAGCTACAGCTGACACACAAAAACGCTCATAAGGCATGGTTTAATCAGATAATTAACGGGCTCTTAAAAGCACAAATACCTTAAAAGTGAGTAACTCACAGTGTGTGTATCGTCTTGCAGAGCTGACTCTGCTGCAGGTACAAATGTACATGTCTGTTCATTCAGCCCGGCGCTGCGTTTCGAGAGGTCGGACTTCTCTAAACTTTGTCTGCCAAACTCCCTGCGCAGCCTGTTCATATCTGTGAAGTTTTCTCCATCTTGGTAATCACTGCCCAGAGCAGACGAAAACAACCCGAGCGCCAAAACACAAAATACGAGGACCATTTCTACAAGACAGTCCAACTTTAAACTCTGAGGCAGTTTCTTCTGTCCCAGCTCTTGGCTCAATGCGCCCCCTTCTCCACTAACGCATCTTCAATAACGGCCCATCCACCGTGGCATAGGATTGGCCAAGAAGAGAATGACCTGCAATTTGATTGGTCAGAAGGGACCTTCCCGGAACTGAGATGTCAAATGTTTTCTGCAGTTACAGTGTCCCCTGGTGGAAAGACTGCGCAACAGACCAGCAAGGTTATTAACCTAGTCTATTTGAAAATTATCAGTGGAGAATATTATTTACTGCAGTTTTTCCTTTAACTTCTCAGATTTACTTCATTTGGTCATTTTTGGGGATTATAAACCAACACGCATAAATTAGTCTGTGCAGATTCTCAGGCATCCAGGTCATAATAAGCTGAAAAAAAAAACTTCTTGGATGAGGCTTCTTCAGTTCTCTGGATGAGAGGTGAAACGTCTTCGACCTAGAAATCTAGTCCAGTTGATTTTTTCTAAGTTTTTTTTCATGCATAAATTAGGCATGTATCAAAATGAGTACCACCAATTGCAAATGTTTAACTCATGGCTTCTTTTATCATTAGTAAATAATTGACGAAAGCCTCACGTGCCATTGTTAACAATAAATCGGCATTAAATCCAGAGGGCAGGCTGCAATCTAGGAAACCAGTGACTAGCTCAAACATGCCAAACTACCTTTGGTAACTGAAGCAAAAGGTGTATATTGCTAGAGAAATACATGGATTTTAGATGAATATGTGGATTGCTTTCACAGTCTCTGAGCACATTACCTTTTTATAACACGTCACTCTGTAATGTGACTTTGCCACTATGACATTGATGCATTAAGTGTTCACAAAGTACAATACATAAACTATATGGGCTAAACCTGGATACATGGTAAGGGTACTAATGATAGACTACTGCACTTTTAACACAAGAAATAGACAAAAACTAGAGAGTCAAATCACTTTCTGAATACAATGGTTTAATTGCAGTACTGAATCGTAACAAAAACTAGCCCCCACCCCTACTTTACTCCTGCCACTCAGTTTTAAGTGCTGGTCAGACTCCTGTACAGGAACTGTACAGATACTGAGAGACACGATGTAAAATAGCACGTTACAAAGAAAAAAACTCTTATGCATTAAAAAAAATCTGAATGTAGCAAGAGGGAAAATGTGCTGATGGAAAGTTGTGGTTGTGCTGTGATGTTCGGCCCAGGTGCAAAACCACGTCCTCTCTTCTCCTGCCCAGACCTCAAACCAAGACTCTTCAACAATTTTTTTCTGCTTTAGATATCCTTGATTACCTCTTCCAGCTCCTCTTTGGAGTACATGTGAAATGTCTTCCCAGGCTCTATTGTTGCCAGCTGCACAAAAGACAGAATGAGAAACCTGGACATTTAAACTCTGGCAGTCCTGTGCAAACTTTAAATCACTGTGGCTATTTTCTTTTCAAACAAAATCATGTTGCTGACATGGTCTGCACTAGAAAATTCAGTCAGCATGTGTACAACCATCTTGCAGCTCTAAACTTATGTACTCAGTAAAAGGGTTAGAACAAAGGAACAAACCTCAATGTTGGTGGCGTTGAGCTTCTCCTCCATCACCTGTTTCAGAATGGTGAGCGATGACTTGATGGCATCCTTTAATGTCATAGACTGTTAAGTTTCCCAGGGAGAGAGCATAAAGGATACAACTCTTCAATCATGGTGATTTGCACCATATGGGCTGAGAAATTTGTTTCACTAAATCTTAAAAATAAAACTATTATTTACCAGCTCACACACAAAATAGCAGTTCATCAACATCACAATTTTCTTTACTAATTTTCCTGTTATGTGGAGCAGTGGGTACCTTGTGGTAGACCTCCTGCAGAGAGCTCTGTGCTCCCTCAGATGCCGAGCCGATGGCCCGTGCGTCACACTGCACAAAGGTTCCTGAAGGGTCCATGTGGTATCTGCATTCACAGACAGAAAATGAAAGTCTTTGAGTGGTCTGACCCAAGGGTTAAAAGTGCAAATGCTTCAAGTCTTCAAGGTTACAGCCAGTGATTTTCTATTTTTTCGTTATTTTCCGCAGATCCCGCACAGACTATAACCAACAATGAATTTTGTGTACTCACCATACTAGAACCTGGTTTAGCTTATTCCTCTGTGACGTAGACCTCCACTGTTGTCCAAAAACTACTAAAAACACACCAGTGAGCCACACCACCGCACTGGGTGACGTTTCTTCCTTGCAAAATATGTAGGATACGTTTTTGTCAAAAATGAGCTCAAAGCACACAGAACTGCCATTCATTTTCAACAAAAACTAGGTTCTGGATTACAACAAAAGTCACTGTTGGTTTTATTCTTGATGAAATTAACAGAAAACCATCAAAAAATAGAAAATCACCAGCTCGATCATCCACGTATGTAAGGTGCACAAAACATAATCGTTACATACAGCTGGGGTCCTTTTTCATCAACTCCTCCAAACAGCAGTGCTACGCCAAATGGTCGACTCTGTATACACGACACAGCAGATGAACAGAGTAGAGACAGATGAACACAGGCTATGCTGGTTTACTCAAACACCATCAAACAGTATGCATCTGGAGGGGAAAAATCCTATTGGCTTGAGGTTTTAATAAGTATTTAAACATGGAAATCAGCTGACTGACCATGGCACCAGGATCAGCGTCCTCCTCTCCAAACTGCAGCGCCAGGTTGGACACCGCTTGAGTCACACTCTCCACTGTCATTGTCTCATTATATGTAAACCAGTGGTTCTGAGGAGGAATATACAACTTAACCACAAGTCAAAGATAAGGTCAGCAAACTGCTGATATTACACTATGCACAAGCATTCATACCTGTGTTTCCACTCTTGCTTTGTCAATTAAAGTCTTGGCATCAGCTATCAAGCCGCTCATTGCACAACCTTTGAAGTGAAAAAGAGGCAAATTAAGAAACCATATGTCCCTCATATACTGTAAGCCTACAGCATCAATCAGTGGTATAAGAGGGATCATTTATATACAAGATACAGGTGTAATCACTGTCCTAATCATACCTTGGCATCACATATAAGGGATATGACTGAAACAGCGTCTCATCAATTAAACAACACATACAGTACAATGTGAGGGCTTTTCTTTCTAAAGGTAATAAAAGTATCTTTTCATCTTCAACCCAAAATGCTCTTAATCCAGTCCCTAGATGTTCTGCGCCTTACTGATAAATACATCCCAAAGCTTTCTAAATATTTAAGCAACTACTCAATATTCAGCTTCTTAGCATTAACACTTTAACTCAATTTTATGTATGCTTTTTGTCATTACATTTTGAAATTAATTGTTTCTTTTATCTTTTAATGTACAAAAGAATATAAATGCAGTTTCATTGAATAACTGATTACTCGGGCTGACTGGTTAGTTACTTTATGATCACAGAAGCCAGCGAACAGTTCTAAAGTTACTGTCTGTTTCGAACACTCTTCTTCAGTCAATATATGTGAGGTTCAATAAAATAATCTTCTCCACTGACAAATGACAATCAGCAAGTCTTACCGATGTGACTGTCAATCTCCACAATCTTCTCAATGCTGTTGGGCTCCATCAGGGGAGAGGTGATCCTCTTCTCCACAGCCAGACACACTCCCTCTGATGTCTGGATACCGATGGCTGTGGAGCCCAACTGGGAGAGCCAGGCCAGATCAAAGAAAACTTGTGAGCTTCGGTTTTAAGGTTTGGTGTGCAATAACATGTATACAGTAAGAGGACAGTTATATCAGTCATCATAAGTGACTCAGCAATTAGTACTCACTTTTATAGCCTCTATGGCATACTCAACCTGGAACAATCTTCCTTCAGGAGAGAATGTGTTCACACCTCTGCAAAACAATTCATAAGGACAATTATAAAAAAAGTTCTTAACAGTGCAGTGCTGCTAGTTATACTCTGTGCTACCAGTGACAATTATGACATTGTTTAGCTTTGTGCTATATGATTATACGTATTCCATGGTGTTTTTCTAGTAAAAATAAAAAGGTTGACGATAATTTTAAAATTGCGATATTGAAAGTGAAAGCAAACTTGTTAGCTATCTTTCAACCTGCACCACAAAACAACAAAGTTAACTTACAACAAAGGTTAGACTAAAACGTCACAATCAGACTGCATTCAAGAGCCCAACTGGCTATAACGTTACAAACAGCTCAATAAATGACAAAGCAGTTTGAGTCGTACTTACCTGTCATATTCTGATCTTGTCAAAAACATCTTTTAACGTTTAACAAAGGACCTACGAAAGGAGAAGACAGGATTTGTATACGACTCATAAACCACATTTTTACTTCAAAACAATTGTGAAATATAAGGGCAAAAGTTTGCTGTTAAGTTCGCCGTAACACCGGGTGTTTAGCTAGCTAGGGGTTAGCTGCGAACCAGAGCAAGCATGCTAACTTACTGCCAATCACTGAAATAACCTCATACAAAGTACTCATATATGTCTAACACTGATATTCAGACACTGTAATTCAATTTAAAATAATGTATATGAACACTTTCGCGATGTTCTTCTAAATGATTGCACTTCTTAGACTAATTTACCTCAGGTACAAATCCTTCAATGAGTTCGCTTGTTTCAAGGGAAGCTTCTGTGGTGTAACATCCAATTGCCTCGGTTGTCAACAGATCGAAAGACTGGTTCCGTGTGTGCAGCGCTGTCCCTGAACCTCCATGTTTCACCACAGAGCGGCAATGTTTCAGTTTATTAGCGAACAAAAGAACCTCTACTGCTAAAAAAAAAAACAAGTTAATACTGCTATGGAATAAAATTGTATTGCATTTTTATGATTAAAAAAACTATTTAAAATAAAACGACCGGCTATTGTAGTTTATATTAGTCTACAGAGGATAAGAAATGCAAAATAAAAACTTACACATGCATCAAGTTTGGGTTTACTATAAATTATTGTGTTTTTGTTTACTTTAACTACTACTATTTTATTTGAATTAGTCTATATCACGAATAGATCCTAAGCATATGGCTCAGATTAAAATAATCATAAAAAGAACTGATGAATAGGCTATTTACTATTGCAGAACATAGGCTGTGCTTCTTTAGGTAATATACAGTTCATTCTGTAATTGTGCAGCAGAAAGCCTAAAGTAAAAACAAATAGAAAAAAAAATAAAAATAATAGTTTCTTGGACTCACAACCTCTCTATCAACAACAACAACAAGAACAAGCATGACTTATTTTATTTTAAAGATCACGTTTATTTTTATTTCAAAAGGCACATTTTTAAAAAGAGTATTCACTCACATTTGCAAAATTTCTTTCTCTTACCCAATAACTAAACTATAGGGACATATCTGCAAACAGACCCTCACAATCCCACCCCAACCATCCTATACAGTTTAGCAGTTAGAATTCCTGGTTTTCATCCTGGCAGCTCAGGTTAAACTCTTGGTATAGAAATGCCCTTTTAAAAGGAGAGGGAGTACCAAGAAATTTCAGGTGGTAATAATGAATAAAAAAAAAAAATGATGCATGCCGTAGCAGAAAATCTGCCTATACAGGTCACCACTAAACTGAATAAGAGGCTATAGGAGCAGTGCTAGGAAACTGTGCATGTACATTTGTGCTAACTGAGCTTCTTTACTGGCTAGATATTGTAAAAGCCTATATACTAAACCCAAAATGGTGCACTGTAAAGTGGCTTATATAGAGATGTTATGATACATTTATACAATGAGAAATCAAGCAGTGATGGAGAAAGTATTATTCATTCCTCAATAATAGGCTAGCACTATACCCTAGCAATGATACTGCTGTTCTCTAAATGTAAAATTTTAATATTCTGGCTGGTCAAGGTGGAGCCAGTATCACAACTTTATACATTTAATTTGGAAAGTAACTGGCAAACATTAAGTGGAATAAAGTGCAGCATTTGCCTTTTGAAATGCAGTGAAGTAGCCTATAAAAAACACAGTATCAACAATGCATCAACTGTAATCAATCCTCATATTAGTTATAGTTTAGTAGATAGATATATTAGTTATAATTCATTTCATCAAATCCATTCTATTGATATCAAACAAAACCTTTAATATACTTGATAGATATTCCAAATTAATAAGAATTACAATTAAATAAGAAAGAAAAGAAGAGATGAAAGGACTCTAATCATTTGGCAACATTCTCAGCCAGCAGTAGAAAATCTCTCAAGATTTAAAACAGTAGCCTAATGAGTTAAGTGTCTATGGGTTATGTGAGAGGAGGGGCTATCCTACCGGTGGTGTTGGGTTTCGTTTAACGGGTGGGACTTTCGGGTCCTGGTGTTGTTCTGCATTGAAGTCCTGAAATCTGAACAAAACAAGTCCTGCTGCTGTGTCCTGCTGTCTGCCTGGTGTACACTGCCTGGACAAGGCTCATTGCTTTTAAAATTGCTAATATGAATCATCAAAGGATAAACCTAATTTTTCAGGAGCTCCTCTTAATTTACAGTAAGTAGGCTGGAGTTTGGTTTTGCTGCATTGTGTTTTGTTACAGGTGCATGTAGTATGCATTAGTATTATAATTTATAAGTATACTTTTCCTGCATCAGTACTTGGTTTAATTATCACAGTAAGCTTATTTTCCTGGGTTAATTAGTATTTACAGTTTCCTTTTATAAATTGATTAGACTTTGGAAATGTGAATTTAAAGTTTTAGGGAACATTTCAGTTAATATGCTGATATATACTGAGTCAGTGTCTAAGCATTAGGGCAGTGTAATTTTACTCTTCTGTACATTATAATGATTATATGTAAGAGCAGGCTTCGCCATTTTTCAGATTTAGTCACATAAGGTTTTGCTGGTTGAGGTAAAATCTCTGTTGTTGTTTGCTAATATACTGGCCTCTAATAATTCAAATTTATCTAGCTTCATCTGAATTGAGAGATCCTTCCTTCCAGCAGGAGATACACATTCAGCACATTTTAACAAAACACACAACATGCAGCGGCTGTCTGACCTGGCCTGTTTAAGTTATCACCCTGTTCACTTCTTCTACTGTTTCTATTCCAGTCCCTATGTGCTACCTTCTCATTACAGGTATGCTCCTCTTTGCATGTGTCTATTTGTGATTTATTTTCACTCTCTTCAAGAATTTCACATGTGCTGACTGACCTCCACACTCTCTCTGTTCGTTAGTGTCAGCTCAGTCTGACAGCAGCAGCACTGTGATGGTGGCAGGCTATAATGTAAGTGCGCCTGCTGGTTCGAGAGTGGTGCTGCAGTGTGTGAGCGGCCGCATGGTGTGGACCAGGGACAGGGTGAGGGACAGGCAGAGGGTGGTCCACTGGGACCTCTACCGGCCCCATTCAGACTATGCCATGGAGAGAGTGGTGGACATGTTCTCTACAGGAGACCAGAGGATCTACAACTCCTACAACCTTGGCCGAGTCAGCATCATCCCGACAGCCTTCAAGGATGGAAACTTCTCCCTGGTCATCAAAGGTCACTCGCTGTCTTTCACTTTTGTCGCTATGTGATTCTAATGACAATTTCTTTCAAATTATAGAACAAAATCTTTGATAATTTTCTTACACTTCATTGGATTCTGTTTATGTAACAGAATCTAAGTCAAAATGTAGAAATCAAATTGCCTTTATTTTCTGTCAAAGTTATATTATAAACAGTGTAATAGAGTTAAAAACAAGGAGTGTTTAGGGTCTCTCCCTATTGTTTGCAGATGTGACGATGAATGACAAAGGTCTATACTCTTGTAACCTTTACCATCTCTACTGCCACCTCTACGAGACGGTCAGAGTACAACTCAACGTCACCAAATCACGTACGTATCGCTCCATACTATCAGCATGATCAACACATTGCAAATTTACACCAGCTTGTCTTTTTGAAATTTTACTATAAAGGCCGTAAAGAGCAACGCTTCTGGGATGGACAAAAGGCAGTGTACGTGGTGCTGCTTGGTAGCACTGTGGTGCTGCCATGCATCAACCGACGTAATGTGTGGACAGACTGGAGCAACGTGGAGGAGGACCAGCAGGTGTCTTATTTCCTCAGTCAGAGACAACTTTTAATTTGGAGGAATTACATGATTGTTACTAAAAAATGTAACTCTTTGCCTACCTTGCTGGCTTCCAGGTGGTCCACTGGGACCGCCAGTCCCCAGGAGTTCGGCATGACCACGCTGACCGCCTGGTGGACCTGTATGCCTCCGGGGAGCAGCGTAGCTATGGTCCTGTGTTCCTTCAGAGGAAGATGAACATCAGCAACGAGGCATTCTCAGAGGGAGACTTCTCACTTACCATATCTGATCTGCAGGTATGTAGCATAACAGAGTAACAGAAAACACCACAGGAGACTGGTAGTTTTAGTACAGTGTTTCCAGAACACATATAAGTTTCATTTGTAATATAGCCTTGTCAAGTCAAACCTTATTGCTCTAATGGGAAAATGAGGTTGGTAGCCACAGAAAGTTAGCAATCACATCATAAAAAACAACACAAGAGCTGTCCAGAGAGCCTTCCTGTGGGTCCTTAGTAATAGCAAGCAGAGAAAAGTTCATGGTCACATTTGAGGGAACCTCAAGGGTCGCAGTGTTTTTTGTTAAAGCTCATAAATCAGAACATTTACTGTCAATTCAATACATCCTCTTGGTTGTAACCTCCACATTGTGGGACCAGTTTTGTTTTTGTTGTATGTTCAACAATGTAAAGGTAGATTTAATTAGCTCTGACACAACACACTTGTTTGTTTGTTTGTCTGGGAAGACAGTTCTTGACAAGTGTACATGTGTTGTACAAAGACCATGCAAAACAGGGACAATTATGTTTTGACAAATTATAGATATCGTTATAATTAATTAATTGTAAAGCTGGCTCGGCAGAAATTATATTTCTTGTGGCCCATCAAAGAAAGCTATGGCTTTAAACGTGTTCTAGACAGTGTGCTAACTTTGTCTATCATAGTTTGGTAGTGTGACCACTGCTGAAAGAAATGCTCTGGAGACAATAGTTACAATGACTGGCTACTCCTTTCCATCAGTATCCTCAGCTTATAAAGTTTGGCTTCACCAAACACCTGTCAGAGGTGATTCTCACCCAGCAGCTCCGCTCTGCTCTGCTCTGTGGGAGGAGGTTGAAACAGCTCTGCTTTACACTGGTAACTCTCTGGCACGCTGAGGCACTTTTTGTTTTGTCATAACCAGGTCAAAATGTTTAGTTCATCCAATACTTGGATATCTGCTAATCTAAAGCAGTTCCCATCAGCCTCAGCAGTACTTTGTGTTTAGTGCTACTTAGCAGATGAAGGGTAAACATTATACCTGTGAAACATCCGCCCCAATAATATAACAGCTGTCACTGTTAGCATTATATGTCTAAGCAGCACTTTGACAACTGTTTCCAAATAAAATTAAAATCCTTGAAAACTAGGTTTCATTGATCTATTGAATAGGTTTCATTTGCAAGTTACACACTGCATCTTATGTAGTTGTATTTACAGCCCACAGATGAGGGAATGTATTCCTGCCACCTTCATCATCATTACTGTGGGCTACATGAGAGAAGAGTGTTCAGGGTTACAGTGGAGCCACCGGTGATTCAGACCACCCAGCTAACTAAAGCACTGCCCAGTGAAGACAAAAGTAACACACACACACACACACACACATACACACAAATGTGAAAATACAACATACACACAATCTCGCTTCCTGTTCTAGTGCTCAGTGTGAGAGACTGAACAGAGAAGATGTTTTATAACTTAGCACATCTGAAGTATTATGTATAATCAATAGAAAAAAACCCACATCTGTTTCTTCCTTCACTCATCAGCTCTAGCTTTTTGTTTTGTCCTCATTCATCTTTGTCGTGCTTTGTCTCGGCCTGAGACTCCCAAGAAGGCCAAGTAACAGCAGAGGAAGAGGAGGTGGGAGGAGCAGAGAAGAAAACCCCTGCTTTCTGAAGCTTTCTGATTTTTTCATAAGAGTTTTTTTTCTTGCACTGTCAGCTTGTCTGATGCCAGACCCCTAATACCACACACACTCTCCAACAACTCCAAACATCCTCCAAGCCTCACCCTTATCATCTTTCACTTTCTTTTCAACCAGAAACTTCTCGCTTTTTAATCATTATGGCACTACTCAGCACACTTGTGTTTCTATTCCTTCTTTTCTGAGTGTATTTAGTTGTGTGTGTGTGTGTGTGTGTGTGTGTGTGTGTGTGTGTGTGTGTGTGTGTAACTGGTGGGGTCTGTTTTGTCTGTTTCTCCTCTTTCAGTTAATTAGTTGTTTTTCTGAATGCAGATTAAAAAAGAAAGGAGGTGGGCAGGGGTGAAACAGAAATGACAGTTGGCATGTTGGCGTGCCAGCTGCCTACTCTGAACAAATTCCTGAGCAGTGAGGGAGTTTCTGGTACATACATTTCTGGTAGGTAATTGAAGAAAAGCCGACAATGGCAGATGTATCAAAGTGGAAAAACCACTGAGAGAGGTTTAGAAATGAGAAGCGTTTGTGGCCGAGTCCATGTGTACAGTATGTGTCTGCGAGTATGCTAGAAAGACCGATCTCATTTCAGTGGAATCTCCTGAATACAGTCTTTGGACTGAAATCTAGCTCTGCCCACGCAATTAATCCTTCACTGCCTGAACTGTAATAATACATTAGGACTGCAGCATGGGAAACAAGATGCATAACTGATTTATCACCAGCACAGAAGTGAGTTTATACAACCTCTCCCTCTGTGCTGCAGCTCTTTGTCTTCATATGCTCTTCATGACTGCCTGCTGCCCCGCTGGCTTTCTGAAGGAGTTGTTACTCTTACTGTAACCCACTTTCATCTTCCCTCTGTCCTGCCTTCTTCCTGCTTTAATGTCTTTGAAGATCCCATACGCTCATGTTTGTATGTTTTCATTCCATTCCATTCAGCTTCTCTTTTGCATTGTCTTTCTCACTTTCTTTTTGCCATGGCTTATAAAAAAGAAGCCTTTTAAGCAGATTATGAGCAGTGTGGAAAAGAAAGTGTGCTTCATCTGCACGGCAGCTGGCCACACAGAGGCAAAGACATCTGAGACCGATACAGATGGAAGTTTTTCAGATGAAGATACACAAAGAAATAAAGGAGTGTGAAAGCATCTGTTGATGGAATAGGGAAAAAGATATGTAGGTCACCCCTCCCTCCTTCCCATCCAAGTTATTTCTCAGTGCAGTTTGGGCAGAGAGAATACAGGGCAGCCAGTCTAAACACAAACACATTACATTCCCCTCAGGGTGCAGGTCAGGAGAAAATGTCCTGAAACTACATAAAAGCATTGGGGGATTTGTAATGTTAATGAACATGTTTTCATGTGTAATGCAGGCAGGAATTTATGTATGTACTGGAAGTTTGTGTTTGGGGTCACTAGCCAAGGTCTTTTCTCGCTACATTTTGCACGACAGGTCTCTAGACAAACATCTCACCACCCCCTTCCTCTCCCTTGGCTGCCCCTCTCTGTTCCACCCCAGTCTGTCCTTCCTTCACTCCTCTTCTCCTCCTCCTCTCCTTTCTGTGTTTCACTGCCAGGCAAAGTAAACTGCAGCATGACTTTCTTTCTGGATCTCATTTTGGCTCAGATATATTGAGCCTGAGATCCACAGCTGTTTCTTACCTTGCAGGCTTTTAAATAAAACCAGGCCCCTGACCTCCCACCCACCCACCCAGTAGAAGCACTGCTTTGGAAATGTGTTCAGAATTTTTTTTTTAAAGCAAGGAAATGTCACCCCATTAAAAAAAAAACAAATTTCCAAGGTGTTAGCGCTTATGTGGCATCACACACACTCATACATGTGAAACATCAAACACACACACATATGCTGCCACATGCACAGACTGAGAATGATTTAGGTGTTGCCTGGAGAGAACTCTCTGCCAGTGAGTGCACATGTTACTCTCCTAGCATTAGATGCATTCTGCCACTGCAAAAGCATATTGAATCCTTCTGAATGACTTGAGAACAAAGACAAGAGTAGTTGAAATGATGTTCAAAAGTCAGTCGTTTTTTAGCATGTTTAAAATATTTGAGTTCAACATGCTAATGTTTAGAAGGTCATGTTTTGCTTTACAAAATGTTGGCTAACAAAATTTTTAACCCTCTGCGGAAGGATTTTCTAGCTTTAGTTTGTGTTTGTGTTGGAGCTCATCCCAGTAGTGAGCTGCATAGTACCAAAAACCAGTCTTCCCTGGTTCTAGCTTAGCAAATGCTGGGACACATATTTTAGTCTGCTGGTGCCACTACAGGAAAAGTCAGAGGATCACCTGAAACATTAGGAGTCGTCTAGGCACCCTGAATATCTGCACCAAAATCTATGGCAACCCATTCTGTAGTTATGTACAGTATAGAGTTATTTTATCTCAGCCAAAGTAGTGGACCAGCCCAGACTGCCATCTTTTGTACCTCACAGCTAATGTGGCTAAATATTATGTAAGCATTTTGAAAACAGAATAAATGACTCAACAAGTCAAATGGGAGAAAGAATGGAATCTATTTAACATATGAACAAAGGACAAATGCACATCTAAATGATACCAAGGCCAGTGGTGGAAAGTAACTGTTCATTTACTCAAGTACAGTGTTGAGATATCTGTACTTGAGTATTTTGATTTTGTGCTACTTTATACTTTGACTTCACTAAATTTTAGAGGCAAGTAGTTATAATCAAATCATATGATATACATTAATGTTAAATGTGCCATTCTGCCTAATGAGTACTTTGAATGTTAGTACTTTAAGTATGTTTTGATGCTAATACTTTTGTACTTTTACTTAATATTCTGAGTGCAGGACTTTTATCTGTTTATTTTTATACTGTTGTATTGTTACTTTTACATAAGTATGACATCTGAGTACTTCTTCCACCACTTAATAAGGCTTTAAACAAAGTTATGTTTGAGGAATATGATGTTGTTCAAACTTTTAAGTTAAAATATGCAAAGCTGGAAAGCCAGAGAAAGTACCTCCGAAATGGAGTGATGAGTTATAGTAAGTGAGAGTGATTATTGGATTTAATACATTATTTCTGTATTACTCATGAGGTGTGTAATCTCTGTTTCATGTACAGACCTGGTCCTAATTATTATATTTGTGAACCTCATAATGACACATTGCTATGTTTGTGAAAGAAAAGATGAAGAACAGATGGAATGAAATGCTGACTGTTGTGATCTTTGTGCTACTCAAGACATTACTAAGGCTGAGTCACCACGAGTCATCAATGTTATTCTGCCTGACCAGAGACACCACTTTTTCTTACCCATGGGATACGTCCTCACAGCCTTCCTGATCCTGACATTCATTATCCTCTTCATCATCCTCATCACATGCAGACGTAGAAGCAAAGGTGTGGATTGCAAAGGCTCATTTTGATTGTAGGTGATTTACTGTGAAATTCCGAATCTCATCTAATTTTCTTGTGTTTTCAGAGTTTTATCCCCAGACCTATATGATGTGAGTGCTGTAAACACACAAAGGCTGCTGTCACATAATCATTGTCTTACCCATAAACACACACTTAGATGTCTCTCTCATCCTGTGTAGGTCCCGCAGAAGCCACAGCAGCTCAGATGAGTTTGAGATGGGCGTTGCTGAGGTGAATGTATGCAGTCAGGAGGAGAGAAGATTTGGTGAGTTAAAGAAAGAATGGAATGGAAATCTACAGTGGATTCTGTCTTGACTGCATGTCTTTTGACGTTCTCCTGTGTGATTTTTAGACTACAAGAACAACCTGATGAAAGAGAAAGTCCACAGTAGCCCTCAGCCTAAAGTCATCGATCTTGACAAAGGTGACAAACACTCACATAGCAGCTATGATGAATTAAATCGCATTTTCATCCACCTTAACCTCACATTCAATTTGTCTTTGCTTCTTGCAGAGATGCAGAAGTTTTCTAAGTGAGAAAATGATGAAGGAAAAACTGAAACTGGAGTCACTGGCTGGTCCAGGGGCTACGCTCAAAGTGAAACACACTGCTTTCCTCCTGGCAGGAGAAATGCCACAGTGTTGCAGAAATGTAAAGCAGTAATAAAAAACAAAGCACACTGCAATCTTGTGTTTTCAAAATGCCAGTATTAGGGACATACATGTAAAAAAGATTTTGTTTTCTTATGTTGTACTTGATCAATTTAAAGACTGGACTGGGACCATTGTCTGTGGCACCACAGCACCACCTGCAGCAGGGTTTTAGCCGAGGCTTGAATGATAATGAGGAGAAATGTGTACACGAGCCAAATAAAGTTGTCTCGGTGTAGTTATTACAACCTTAGTTATTATGCCACAACTTTTAAAAAAATGTACTGATGCTTCACTTTTCACTTTTCACTTTGTTAGTAACTTTTTACTCATATTTCATCTTGGCTACCTGACTGGATTGAAGCACCACTGAAAAGTTATTATCAGTGCTGGCTGCTTCCTCTCAGCTTTGATTAACTGTATGCTATCTCATAAATGAAGCAATGTAAAATGTTTGATTTAGATGCACAGACTGTATGTAATTTCTGTGGAATGGCCCTTTTTTAAAACATGTATTACATTTTTTAATGTTTCTTTTTAACAGTAATCACCTATTACACTTGTTAGGAAAAAAAAACTCATTTAATTCAAATGGATGTATGGATATTGCATAGTAAGTGTAAATACTTGTGAACTGAAGAAGTGTTTGGCATCTTTCACAGCAGACATTTTACATGTTACTAAAAAAAAAAAAAGGTGCCTCAGTGAGCAGTGACAGTGACACCCTGATACTGAGGCAGCCATCGTTCATTTTATTTACACCTGTGAAAATGTCTTCAATGAAAATGGTCTCAGTGATTCCACAACTATTTTTGTCATTCTCCCTTTGAAATCTGCAGAATGGGTTCCTCTTCTTATTTTTTGATGTGACTGATGTGTTCGCTTAACGTTCTGACAAGTCAGAATGTCTGCTTCAGCACCGTTGGTCTGGCAATTCAAGTTTCACACTACATTCCCTTGTTTTTTTACTAGCCATAAAAAGTTACATCCGGTAGAACTGAACTTTTTGTTCATAAATTTAACTCTGCATTCTATTTTTTACTTTTTAATTGATTTTTTTTCTTTGTTTTGCCTATAAAACACACAAATTGAGATAGTGATTCTACAAAATAGCAGACTGAGCTTTAAAAACCCACGTTATTTGGTAGAAAGTAAACTAATCCCCAAACATTCAATAATAATACAAGGAACATGACCTAGGTGTCCTCGTCGGTAGTCACAGCCCTGGTTGTGTCAGTCATGTACAGACTTTGCTGCTGATATCTGCCTTTGTTATTATTCTGTGTTGCTGCACTATCGGTACTCATGGGTGTATTACCTGAACAGTTTAAACTACTTTTTTTTAATGTTTATTTTACCAGGAAAAACCTCATTGAGATTAACAATCTCTTTTGCCAAAGTGTCCTGGCCATGATAGTAGGTATCAGTATAATTACTGTGTTTAACAGATAATCACACATTAGGTCAGAATTCATTTATTCATTCCTTTGTGTCACAAATAAACAGTCCCTGAATTCAAGACAAATGGCTTTTTATACACTTTGTGAAGTTTGTTTTGTGTACTTTTTGTACAAAATACTTGGTACTGTTATATACTGTACGTTCAATCTAAAAACAGTAGAAAACCCTGGTCTGTCTTGCACTGTCAGGCGGTGTAGAAGGAAGCAGCTTGCAATCGATCACCTGCACACACACTCACTCACAAGGTCACCTGCAAACTGAACCCAGGACAATAAGAAGAGTGACAACATTTAGAATTCTCACTGTCTCACTTTCAGACAAACACACACGCTGACAGTCAAACCGGCATCTACACAGTCTAAGATGAAATTAATTCGGTAACTAACTTTGGGGCCGCACTGTGTCTGCTTACACACAAACATCAGCTACAGGTACTGTCGGGTCATAATCTGGCAGGATATTGGCTGGAGAGAGGACTTGCTACAGAAAGTTTGGAGTAATGGGGTGGACTTGTGTTTGTGGCACTAAATGCAATGTGAAATAATCAACATGTTCACGGTTGTTTCTGAGTCAAAGCAACATAAAAAATGATACTTGGGACAACAAGAGACCAACCAACGGAATAAGAAAATACGCTCAACAATTAACATACTGTACAAGCTGCAGTCCGTGTCACTGGCACGTGTTCCAGTACTCAAACCTGTCCAGTACTGTCTTTGTCCTTTCCCCAGGTCACACCCATCCTACAGACAGGGTGTGTACACAGTGCTCATGTTCAGAGGCAGCGTCCAAGGGACCCTCTGCTCACAGTGAGCAACAAATGGATCATGGTGCCAAAAGACTGTCAGTCTTAAATGCAAACTAGTTAGTGCACTGTGAACTGGACAGTGGTTGTTTTGTGGTGGTGTCGTTTCCAGGTCTCCTCAAGTATCCACCACAGAGCCAATGGAGTCCTGCTCAGGGTTTTCCACAGGGGACGAGCTATCTGGGGCAGAAGGGTGAGGGGACTGAGTGACTCCATTGCCTATGTTGCAACCCACACAACCCTGAGAGACATAAAGACATGTTACACGTGTCCAGATGAGCTGAAAGAGGAATATGTGTGTGTGGATTTGTGTCCCCACCTGTGTGTCTATTTCCTGTGGGATAGTGTGCTGTTGGATCCAGGGATGGACTTCAGCCAGCTCCTCTCTCTGCTCCTGGCTGAACCAGGGCTGGAGGGGCTGAAGCACCCGAAGCTTCTCCCTGTCCTCTGCCAACACCTCATTCCGGTCCCTGGAAGACAGGAACAGAAGATACAAGACAAACTGCATTTAAAAATGTGGGACTGTCATGTCATCACACAACCAAATCAGGAGATGGTGTCATTAAACCAAAGCTCCCCTTTGTCTTGATCAGCTGTTCACAGCTGTGCTGGGAGCAACAGATAAAAACATATAAACATGAAAACAGTAGCTCAAATGCCAGTGTTAAGATTAAGGAAATCACAATAACAAAGTCAAACAATGGTCAAGCAGCCAGAGTGTCACAGGATGTCATTAAAATAATGGAAAACCTCAAAAACCTTTGAAAATGCAGCTTTAAACACTCATTTTGCTGTGGTCCCTAAACCAGCAACTGTCTGTTTGACAGGAGTGGGATGGAAATGAGGAGAGCGGTGATTGTTGTGTGTGTGTGTGTGTACCTGGCATGTATCTGGTACGTCATCATGACTCGCTTGGGTGTGTGCTGGATCATGCCCCACAGTGAGTTCTCCACCCGAGTGTCGAAGCTGTGTTGGTGCTCTGCCGGTGCCTCCTGGCTCTTACGGGCTTTGCGTGATGTGTCTGATGAATCATTGCTAGCAAAGTATTTACTGCTGTTGCTGCTGCCTGTAACCAATCAAGAGCTCTGCATCAGTCAGAAGTTTTCATTTTCTGTGCACGTGCATAAGGTGGAATGCCAAAGTGCAACATGATCCATTTTCATTCAGAAGCACAGTATGCCCGAGACAGAGAGTTGTAAATTACTGACATAAAATCAACTAGTACAGATGTTTGGTGATAAATCAACAATGTTATTAGTATTGCTTTGTGTAAATAAAAAAAAAAAAACCAAAAAAAAACACAACAATCTAAATATGAATGGGATTTAGGATTACTGCCACACGATATTTGAGTGTTTTTCTTTCTTACCAGTATGAGAAGTGGAGGTTCCATTGGACCCAGATCCAGATCCAGACCCAAGGGAGCCACCAGAATCTCCTGACCCAGACCCTGAGGCATTGGAGCCAGTTCCTGACCTGGCATCCTCCTGCAGCAGCAAGTCAAGCAGCTCACTTGATGTAGACTGGGCATCATTGTTCCCAGACTCACTGGGGGCGTCGCCCTGAGTAAGAAAATTGTTCCATCAGAACTATACCATGTGTATCAGAGAGCTATATTAACTTGTACTGCTTATGTATAAAATGCATCAACTGACAGACTGATAAGAGGTGGTTTAAAACTTGTAGAAGGGAGCTGTAAAAAAAAGCATGTTGAACTTTGTGACAAGAGGTTCACAGGAAACAGCAGACTCACCTCATTGACATCTTGTTCGTGGAGGCTCTCGGCATGGTTGAGGCCCGTACTGCTCTGCACTTCGTTCGGCTTGGGCAATTCCTCCTGCAGCAGGTTCAGCTGCAGAGGAGAGCTCGAGCGAGAGCTGGAGAATAAAGCCCGAGGCCCAGCTGCCTCCTCCTCCTCCTCGACAGAGGAGCTGGCTTTGGGTGAGCAAAGCACAGGGCCAGGGGATGTCTGAGTTTGGAAGCCAGGCTGAGCTTGAAACTGGGGATGCGGAAAGGGTGCACTGCCAGGGGCAAAGCCTGTAATGGTGATCGGTGCCTGGGGCAGCATGGAGGGAGTACAATGTGGGTAAATGGATGGGTAACTTGTAATGAATGTGGGGTAGTTGGGCAGGATGACAGCCATGATTGGAGCCACATAAGGGTTTATGCTATGGGCTGGTGCCACAAGCTGCATGTTGTGAAGGTTTGAGATATTCTGCAGATTCCGAATGTGCTCCATCTGGTTTGGTTGCATGCCTGGTAGGCTCTGAGCAGACTGCATGTTGTTGAAGTTGTAGCTGAGGTGGGTTTGGTCAGGAGGCTGCAGCACTACAGGCGTCGCTCCAGACAGCTGTTGTGGTCTGGCTGCTTGCTCTGTGCTAGGCTGGGTCACTATCATGGGCAAGAATGGTGCCTGGAGTGGGGATGTTTGGCTGTAGGGTGCTCCCATCTGGGGTTGGGAGGACTCTGAAGATGGCCAGGATGATTCAGGGACACAGCATGGGGGGCCAGGCGGGGAGGCGTAGCTGTCTGAGGATCCCTGGGGTTTGGGGTGCTTGTGTCTTGGTATTCCTCTTCGAGAGCGGTTCCACCCACCAGTGCTCAGTGGACGTAGGTAGTCGCCTGTGGTGAGATGTCCGAGATGATCAAAAGTACTCAAGTTTCCCTTCAAAATCTTACATGGTGTTCTGAAAATATGCTGCTTTAACAAGTAAATACATACATGGGTGTTGGGAGTGAGCTATCGAACTGTTGTCCAACTGGAGGTAAGAGCTGTAGGGACTCTGGAGGATGTGATGGCGGAAGCGATCTACATATTCTTGCTCCTCCTTCTGGGTGTGAGCTGACAGCACCTCCTTGGTGAGGCCTACAAACCTTCGCTCCTCTGTGGCGGGGCTCGGTGCTGGCCGGATGGGAGTCGGGACAGCATCAGCAGGCTCACTGCCCATTGGGGCATCCTCCAGCGCTGTGGCCTCTGTGGGCAAACATTGAAGAAAAAACATAATCAGCAGAGAGTTCACAGCCCTTTTCATCCTTGCTAATAAATGCCTGAATGAAAGTGATACAAAGCAAGACTGTACTGTCATTATTGTGGGATATATAGTATATGTGAAATCAACAGAACAGTTGCACCTGGGTAGCTCTCATGATCTGACACACTTATGTAAGGGTGTGTTTATATACCTGACTCAGGCTGCGGCACATGTACAATAGTGCTGCTGTATGAACACTGACTGGTGACTGAGACTACGCTCATGGCCTTGGTGGACATTGTGATGTCTGTTAGAGGTGCTCCAACTACAGCTGCAGCTGTAGGGCCCACTGACACCTCACTGTCCAACACCACCACTGAAAAGTGAGGAGACACAACATGAAGATCAGCTAATGCTTCTGTAATGAATATGGTAGAATTTTGCCCAAATGACAACACAAGGCTAAATCACGTGTTTATACCATCTGAGCTAGCTTGAGCTGTGTCAGTGGCTCCAGCAGGCTTGTCTTCCTCTGTAGTAGAAGATGAGGAGGAAGAAGTGGCCAGGGAAGGAGACTTACTCTTTCGTTTGAGAGCCGGACCTGCACAGCTCTCCAAATATCTGGAATAAACAAACACATGCATATTCACTGCAGGGAATGCAAGACATCCAATTTATTTTAGAGTTGACTACTCTGTTATGAAAGTCAAGTCAACGCTGACTAGTCACTGATGGCGTCATCACCCCCCAACATACACACAAGGGGGTAACACGGGTTGCAGCATTGGAGTTAGCTGTTCTACCACTTGCCATTGTGATGTTGCTTTGGACACTTGGTTTGGTGGCTGTTTCTTCAGCAAGGGCAGATTGCACAGCTGTCTTTGTATGTATTTTGGGCATCTACACAACAGAGTTCCATTAAATCAAATGAAACTCCACATCACCCCTGGATCCTCAGGTTTTCATGCTTCAGGTAGATTTTTTCCAGCAGATTTAGTAAAGAGTCGTCTCCACATCCAGCCATTTAAATTACACAAATCTCTTGTGATTTTCTGTTGCAAACCTTTTACTGGTGTCTGTTACAGACTATTTTTGTCTAGTACATTTCTGCTGTCAGTCAGCCTGGTGAAGACCATTTGTCTGGCCACTGTCCTGATGACAGAAACACTGAACACTCCACTCATGTCTGGCTTTCAGTGGAAAACTGGCTGAAAAACCGCTAGTCAAGTATGAGAACGGTGGAATTCCACTTGACTGGGCAGGCTGTTTGGAGTTTATTTAAACCCAGGTTTTCCAGCAAGTTTCTTTGGGGCGCAGAGGAGAGGGGAGAGAAAGCAACTGACTCAGAGTGCTGTAAGAATAGCCACTAGTCAATGTCTTGGTAAAAATGTCAGCTCTGTGTGTTGAAATCAGCTAGTTGACTAATCTGTGCAATCCCTAATTCACTGGCACACAAACACAAAATTATTCGTGCAAAAGAAACTAGGTACTTCAGCACATAATAAACTGAAATGATCAACACAACGCTACGATCACACACCTGATGATGTTGTCCACACAGTTGATCTGCTGATAGGAGGGAATGTGTGTTTGCTTCCTGTTGTCTTCATAGTCTCTGACCTTGGGTTTGGAGGCTGCAGGAGGCAGATGTGCTGGGAGGGAAATGGCCATTTTAGGCAATATAAGAACATTTGCACATTTTTACGTATACAGGATATTTTTCATGCATTAGATTTAGTACTGGGCTGAACTACCTGTGGCAGGTTTGCCAAGAAAAGAAATTTTGTGGCTGGAATCCAGATTAGTATGCTGGGCCCAATTCTTCACTCTGCTTACATCAGCACAGATCTGCTGCAAAGTCATCTGCAATAATACACACACATGCACACAATATATGAGTATGATTAACCTTGGCAGGAGCGTTTAGGAGCTGCACTACAACTGGCTGCCTGGCAAGCAATACCAGTGTGATGTCTCACCGATTCCCGGTGCGTGTCTTCCCACAGGTTGCCATTGCTGTCACTTGAAGAAGCTACACTGATGTAATGCTCATGAGAGCCGTTACTTCCCAAGCTGCCATAACCACTGGAACCATTGTTGTGGACAGGCTGTGGAGAAGAGAGACAGACCAGTGAAGATACTGGAGAAACTGGCATATACAAACAATCATGGAAAGAAAAAAACATGAGATCACAGTAAAGATGTTTTCTGTGGTATCCACTACCACAGTGTACAATTATGGACATGTATCTGGTTCAACTCTGCTAGTTACAATTAATTGAATATTATTATTATTATTATTATATTAATAGAATAAAAATACAATTAATTCAGCATCTTTTAGCAATGAAGATCTCTTCAATGAGAATATAAGAGCGAACCAAGGATTAATTTCACAACGATGTAAAACAAGGACAAGCAACATTACTTTAGTATTTATTCAAATTATTAATTGATTATCCATATTATTTTGATTAGCAATATTTTCTTCAGTTTTTTTCCCGCACTGAAATAGTCACCTGCAGGAAAAGCTTATAGATCTTTCCTTGCAGATCTTTTATCTCCTCATGAGTAACTGGAAAATCCTCCTTAGTCCGAGCAGCGAACACATCCTCATTCAGTGGACTCCTGGTGTCAAAACATGACATCACAGTGAGGTCAGCTTTATCATTATGTAATCTAATTTTAAAAAGTCTATTCATCTTTGACATGGCACCCATATAACCGGTGGTTTAGAGGGCAGACCATGCAAATACCAAACCATCCACCTGAGTACATGGAAAGTGCTGAGACTTCGTTTGTGAATAAAACACCAAACATATTTTGTGTGTGTGTTCTACTCCTTACGTCCTGACTTTATGACGTCCAATGATAAAGGCCACCTTGCGGCTCCATGGGTTGATGAAACTAGACCAGCTGGTGTCCAAGGTGATGTAGTCTCCATTCTGACAACGGAGACGCACCGGAGAGTGCTCAAACGGAGGCTGGCCTGCATACTTCAACACTGCTCATGAAGAGCAACAGCAAGAGAGGAGTGATGATGTCTAAGACTGAATGACTCATTGGTCACTATTAATTGTCAGAATTAATGACAAAAGCCTATCTCAAAACACTTACCTTTCCGGTGCATAGACAGCATGAGGGGCCGGTCCTCTGGGTGAATGCAAGTCAGCAACGATGTGCCAATCAGATCCTGAGGAAGGTATCCTAGCAACGGCACAGCCCTGTGGATAGTGACTATTCAATCAGCTTCATCAGCACACTGCCCCTTAAATAGCCCAACTTAAACTTGGACTATGCACGGGTTTGTTTGTGTATTTGTACCTGTCATCCACTTCAAGGAACACACAGCCGGGGGAGTGTGTGGTGGTGAAGATGCGCTTGTCCATGGGGATCCGTGGGGCTGCATCATGGAAAATTATCAATATCAGGGCCATGTCAAAGGGAACCCTCTTATATGTCTAACTACATGAATAGTCCTGCAAACTGAATGCATAGCATGAGCGAGAAGAGATAGTGAATTCAGCAAAAATATTTATTTGGTCATGGCAATCTGAAACAGCAACATGTTTGGGGTCAAAGATGAGCACAAAATCAGTCAGTTATCTTCTAAATTATTTAAAAGTACTGCATCCCAAAAGAAATGAATATAAGTAAATAATGTCAACATTAATCACATTAATAAAAATGTTACTTTTCACTGGGCTAAGCTGCTTCAGTTGTTTGCATTTTCAGATGACAATGATCACACCTTCATATCCTGAGATGATGCGTTCGGCCAGCACCAGGCAGCACGGCTCCTCCTCCTCATCCCCACTACTTCCTGTTACCTGCACCTTCAGCAGGTATGGTGTGATCCGGAACGGATTGTAACACATTTCACCCTCACGGTCCTTTCCACCCCTAAAGTGCACAGTCAAATTTCCATTTCAACTGTGATCACAGGTGAAAATAAGCCTTTCAACTAAGGAACAACAAAAATGTGTGGGAGTTTGACAGAAAATGATGTGAACAAATACAGTTATCCATTTCAAATGTATCATCTAAAGCAGTAATCTGTCTATGCCACAGTAATATACATTGATTTCTTCTCTCTTTATCTGCGCTGTATAACTTGCAACAGTCTCATAATAGGATCAGTATGTACATTATGTTGAAGTTTGAAAACTGACTTTCAACTGAGTTTTATGGACATCACTTGGTAAAGAACTGCACTTGCAGTGCATTTCTGCATTTCATAATGGTCTACACGAATGTGTGAAATTCAGATTTTCTGTGCACATACATGCACAGCACGATTCGGTTATTGTGAAATTACAGATTTACTGGAGATCAATTATAGAAAATGGAATGGAAATATGTTACGGACCACACACCTAATTCTGCAGAAGAAAGACTTGACCTGGGCACAGTCAAACAGAACCCCTGCTGCAGAGAGAAACAGCAGAAAAGTTAGTTACATGCCTGTCTCTTGAACAGAAAACACAGATGAAATGTCAAATATATTTTTAAATATAAATTGTAAGAAAAATCTAAAACCAAAATGTGTTATTTACTTGTAAAACAGACAGTTTATTCATATTTACTTGTGCTGTACTGGGTTATTATTTATGGTAATAAAAAACTGATTTTAATAAAAACAACAAACCCTGAATTACCCCGTATAAACTACCCAAAATTTTCTAAAATTTAACTAAATTTACATTAAAAAAAAACAATAAAAACATGTATAAAAAAACTGAGTGAATTGGTGACAACCTAAAAATATCAAAAATTCAGCAAATGTGGTCTAAACACACCCGTGTGTGAGCTGCTCCAGGGTGTGAGGTGTGGCTGCGCTGTGTGAGAGTAGAAGACGTTGACATCTTGGTGGAAGAGCAGCTCCACAAACTTGGCTGACTCAAGGAATTTCCTCTTGCAGCAAAGGATGCTGGGAGCCTGCTCTGACGAGTACATCACGTGGCCACTTGACAGGGAGAAAACCACCACGAAGGAGTCCTACATGGAGACACAAAGAGACGCACGCACGCACATGTAGAAAGACGTGCACACAAGCAAGCCAAGTCGCAGACATACACACAAAAGCAGTAAAACGCACATACACTCACACACCCGCTCAGGCATGAGGCAGAAATAAACATCTATGTGCATGTATGTATGTAAATGTGTTTGCTTCTTCCAGACTGTCCACAACTGTAATGGAACCTTGAATCAGTATCAAAATGTGATTTAAAAACAGCCCATGGTAAATGCTCTAAGGGCTAGGGATGCACAATGATTTTCAAATATTAATTAAATTTAAAGAAACTGAATATTTTGCCCCATATTCTGGTTCTGTTCATTACTTTTATGGATAGAATTTCTAGGCGCAGCCAGGGGCCGGAAGGAGTCCGGTTTGCGGACCACAGGATCTCGTCCCTGCTTTTTGCAGATGACGTTGTCCCGTTGGCTCCATCAAATCAGGACCTCCAGCGTGCACTAGGGCGGTTTGCAGCCGAGTGTGAAGCGGCTGGGATGAGAATCAGCACCTCCAAATCCGAGGCCATGGTTCTCAGTCGGAAAAGGGTGGCTTGTTCCCTTCAGGTTGGTGGAGAGTTCCTGCCTCAAGTGGAGGAGTTCAAGTATCTCACCTTTGGTCATGACCGAAAGGGCAAGATCCCGGATACAGGCAGCCAAAACGAGCATTCTCCACAGGGTGGCCAGGTGCACCCTTAGAGATAGGGTGAGGAGCTCGGTCACCTGGGAGGAGCTCAGAGTAGAACCGCTGCTCCTCCACATTGAGAGGAGCCAGCTGAGATGGCTCAGGCATCTATTTCGGATGCCTCCTGGACGCCTTCCTAGGGAGGTGTTCCGGGCATGTCCCACCGAGAGGAGGCCCCAGGGAAGACCCAGGACACGCTGGAGGGACTATGGCTCTCGACTGGCCTGGGAACGCCTTGGCATTCTCCCGGAGGAGCTGGAGGAAGTGTCTGGAGAGAGGGAAGTCTGGGCATCTTTGCTTAGACTACTGCTCCCGCGACCCGGCTCCGGATAAGCAGAGGAAAATGGATGGATGGATATTTTATGCGACTATGGTTTTGTCGTTACAAAGAGCCACTATTTTCCCTTGTTTTTTACTGTAAACTGGAAATAATGTGATAACAAGGTCAGTATATCATTTTACTACAGTGCCAAACAGCAGAAACATGCTGAGACTAAAGCCATCAAGAAGTTCTGTGCGGAACTTCTTTGAGAAAATAAATGAAAATGAGGTACAGTGCAAACCCTACCAGGTTAAGTTAACAGATTATAAATCGACAAGTATCCACAGCCATTTGAAGGCGAGACATCCAGCAGAAAGTCTGAGTATATGGTCCTATCAAGAAAAATAGTCACGACATGAAGGGATAAACCGTACGATGATAATGAACGTGAGCTGCACAGTCGTTTCACAAGTGTTGAAAAGGTGTCTCTGACCATGGCTGCAACTGAATCGTATGTAGCAGTCGCTGGCCATTATATAAGCAACTGGAAAATACAGAGTGTTGTTCTTCAGACTAAATGCCCATCCGTACTAGGGGTAGTATCTTTGTCATGACTCCTGAATATGTGTGCACACCGAGAAGTGTAAGCAGAAAATAGGGCAAGAAAGTGACAACAGCATCAGTTCCTAGTGCTGTCTCTGTGTGTGTTTGTACCGTGTTTTTAAGGGTGTGTTCGGAGGTGACCTGCTCCAACTCTTCCAGGGTGCAAACAGTGGCATCTTGCCTCTCATCCTGGCCATTTCGCAACAGCAGTTTGTAGTATTCACTATTGGCTACAGAGGACACACACACACACAAACCACATCACAGTTGGCAGCACAGTTAAATGTTAAAGCCATGAGCTTCACAACTGGTATTTGGCCCTCAGATGTGAGCGACATCGAATGTGGCCCCCTCTATTAAGTTGCCACTTTACTGGACCCTCGATACAGAGACGGGTGAGACAGATTTTTTATTAATAATAAATTATTAATGCCATAATGTTGGCTACATTTTAAATGGTAAATGTAAAATCTTGCAAAACCAATGCTACAAGTTTATTTCTAGCCCAGAAGTGGAGATCTGTTAATGTACAATGATTTGGAGAAATGTGTGTACTTGGCCTCCAACCATCTAGTGGCTGCACTTATCCATCATTACTCATATTTAATATTTTGTTTATTAATGTTGAATGTTAATTAAAATGAAGGGCTCTTGTGTCAGAATCGGCCGCTGTGTATCAGAACTGAAAAAATGTGGATCGGCTCATCACTAACCTCAGGCTTGTTGGACAAAAAGTGTCAGCACTATACAGATGTCAAAGAAAGAACAAAATGTTTCAAAGAGAAGCAAATGTTTCCATCTGCCAGATTACCTTGAACTTGTTTAACACAGTTGAGAGCATAACTTAAGGCCTCCACAGTGCTGGCTTTGCTGCGACTGAATTTGTCTGATGGGAGCCTCTTCTTCATCTCGGCCACTGTGATCATCACCTCTCTGTGGGCCTGCCCTCTGCCACCATCAGCATGCTCACTGCTACAAATGTTCAGAGGTGCCACAAAAATGAACATATTTAGATCACAGACAGAAGATAACACAGTACATCTGGTGTTCCTTAAAAACAGTTTGGTTTTTGTTTTAGCACAAATGGTGCCTGGGCAGCACTACAGGTCACTCTATGCCAAAACAAGCAGACACAAGGACAGTTTCTTCTCCTGGGCCATCACTCTGATGAAGACTTAACCCATGACTGTATAACAGAACAACAACCCTCAGTGGAGTAGCGTGTTGATATCTATCTGTGTGTGTGTGTGTGTGTGTGTGTGTGTATATATACATACACATTGAGAATCACTGTACCTCATGTGTCCTACACACCTAGCCAATAAAACTGATTCTTTATTTCTAGAATGACCTATATTTACAGTCTGTAAGGTCACAGACAGCCTCTGGTTTTTAGCGTGTATCAGTACAGTAAGAAAATCAACATGCAAGGACTTTGGATTCACTTGAAATAGATTTTAGTCAACATTCAGACTGCTTTATTTGTATCAAGTCTTTTTGTCATAATTACGCAAACTCCACACTGAAAGCCACCCGAAACATTCTTGCTGTGAGGAGACGGCGCTAATCGCTGAACCACCATGCCAAAAATTAGAGCATACACACTCTAAATACCTCTTGGTTGAAGCCGAGGTGGATCCAGTGGTGCTCCCAGGGCTGTGATCAGCTGAGGAAGAGAGATCATGTGACCCACTAGTCATCTCTTCATCTTCCTGCCCAACTTCTCCATCCAAAACTCCGTTATCCTCTCCCTCGACGTGCCCGGACTGCGGCCCTTCATCCTGCCGCCCTGACGATACCCTCTCTCTCCCTCCATTATTTCCCGTGGCTAATGGTAATGCAGGCTCCTCCCCATTTGGACCGCTGTCACCCCCAGGCATCTCAGCACTTTGGTCACACATCAGTAATAGTAATTTGTCCAGTTACATTGATCAGTAAAGGTCTTCATGTATTCAGCAGAGAGAATGGGTTCCATGTGGTAACAATAAATCACTGTTCATTAAACTAGCGCTCAGTGTGGATGTAACGGTCTGCCTTGAACACTGTAAGACAGAGGGGATAAAGGGGAATGGTCAACAGTATCAGAGCAAAGTCTGGAGGACTGAAGGTACAACATGGAAGAACAAGTAGCTGGTGGTGACCATTAATCAGTGGGACCCCTAAATGAGAGGTGATAAGGCTGTATTAAAAGTCATCACATCAAAAATCTAAACTTTTTTTTAAAGTCTTCTTAAATATTAATGATAACACTTTTATTGGTAAGTAAGTTGCACACACACAAGGAATTTGTCTTCTGTACAGAACAGAGGCAGCCATCTGCAGCGCCAAGTCACTCACACACACACACACACACACACACACACACACACACACCAATGATCGCGCTCTCCCTGCAAGGCACTACTCTGGCCATTGGAAGCAAGTTCAGGTTCAGCGTCTTGCCCAGTGACACTTCGACGTGGACTGGGGAGAGCGGGAATCGAAACGCCGACCTTCTGGTTAGGGGACGACCGCCCTACCTCCTGAGCCACAGACAGTCTCCTAGAATCAGAGATAAGGGGAGTAGAGCCTCAGGGTTTACAATAGTGTTACAACACAGATCATGTGGCAATACCACTGTCCTCTACCTTTTCCAAACAGAGAATGTGAGGTTGGTGGTTTATTCAAAACAGTAGCCAGAGTGTTTGTGGATCCGAGTGACTTTAGTGAATAAACTTGATTTTCCTGTGAAAACACACTAAATTCTGAAACATGCTACAAATCTAGCTGTCATGCGAAACTAGTACATGGCTATGATGCAGAAAAGCACTGGGGTAAATAATAACATTAACAACTGTACAATCCATTTATAACTGCAACACAAAACAGAATGGTAACAAGACAAAACATGAAACATGGACACATTTACAGCAGAATGTAGGAGAGTTTGATATGTGAAGGTGTGTAGTGTGGGTATGTTCAGCTCTCTATAAAGAGTCTGGTGATACGTTCACAAAAAGAAGGGAGGGGGAGTAAAGAGAAAAGATGAGATGGAGAATGAATGAATATTCAATGAGGGAGAAGTTTAAACAAGCAAATGATTAATAGCTTTTACTGGGACATTGTTAATGTTATTTTTTACACCTGAGCTTTTCCTACTACATGTCAAAATGTCTGCCATGAAATAAAAACCATGATTAAATGCCTGAGATTTGTATTTAGCCAAAGCTCTACAGACACATTAATACAAAAAGAAAAAAAAAATCTATTCACTCTATGATCTGGAGCAGCTGTAGCTCAGATGGTAGAGCAGGTCGTCCCCTAGCCATACTGCTGGCGGTTCGATCCCCAGCTTCTCCAGTCCACATGTAGAAGTGTCCTTGTGACACTGTCCTTGACACTGAACTCCAAATTGTTCCCAGTGACACAACCAGGGCATGTCAGTGTGTGTGTGAGAGTGAGTGCACTTCAGTTGTGTCAGTGTGTGTGAGAGTGAGTGCACTTCAGTGTGTGTAGAAAAGCTCTATTTACACATTTCATCTACCAACACTGCCAAGACCAGGTGCAACTTCGCCAACTGATAACTTGCTGGCTGTTGTATTAGTTTGTGAACACAAATACAAGGCTACATTTATTGCAGAAGGTATGAAATCTGGAGGATTTGTTGGTTGCAAGAATTAATCTAACCTTTGTTTCACTTCAATGATCTTTGAACAATGCTGTAAAGGCTGCTTCTGTATTTACATCTCTGTTGTGTCTAAAATCTATTACCTGTTCCCTGAGTTTAGATATTTTTGAAGAAATATCAGAAATTGTTATCACACAGAAATAAAATCAGTGACAGTGCTGCTGTGGTCTGAGTGCCCCTGCATCCATGAGAGCTATTCAAGGGTAAAGGGTGAAAGGACACGCCCTTGTGGTGAAGCTGTGACTGAAAGTACATGTCAAACAGTCATTTCAAAAATTATCTGCTCTCTGTCCCTCATTGAGTCCAGAATCCATAGTACAAGCTGGTGAGGCAGATTAAAGTCCAAAGCAAACTTTCAATTAAAAGATGAGACTACAACATATTTAATGTAGACGAGAAGTTTGCAAACAAAAGCCTGCTATGGCCTTGAACTTGTATTTACAAATTGGTTAGAAAGTTTAAAAGGCGTTGCATCCTCCACACCTTTCCCCGTCTGGTAAAGCAAATTGCAGCGGGTCAAGTTGTTCCATCAACTATTGGCAAAACAAGTTTTTAAACTAATTTTCTCATTAGGCAGCATAGGATTGGTGTTCTTTGGAACAGGGAGACCGATCACAGCTGTGAATTTCTAGGTGTTACGGATTTGGTTACAGTCATGTCAGGTCTGAAAGGTCTGATGGACGACACACTACCGCAAAATGCGTCAACAAATTTGATCTGGACAAGGGGCTTTAGTAATGTTTACATGTATTAAAACTGTCAGGAAGGGAATCTCCAATGAATATTTTCACATTTGTTATGGCCCGTTATTAGGGAAGGCTGTGCTGTATCTAGTGCACACAAAGAGCGTTAAGAGGAGTCAGCCCGCCTAAGTTCATTAGGTCTGAGTAGGAGCTGCAAACGATATCCGTGCAATCACAGCAAGCTTGCAAGGCGGCAATGCTGTTTTCCTCCCAGCATTTAACCAGTTTTACTATTTGCTAGTGATGCCTACAAACTGGCAGAAATACAATATTACTGCAGGATGCTTCAAATGGAGGCACGGACAGCAGAGCCCTAAAGATGCCATGCACCAAGTCCTAGCACAAGTCAACAGTACTCTTTTGAGTTGTTTCACATGTTATATACTGTCCATATCTGAGTTATATGCCCACAACAGTATGTTAGCACTAAAGCATACAAGACAACGATTAAAATTCATTTGTTTACATCCACTGCTCTCTGGTCGGTGGCGTGGTCGAGGTGGTTAGCTAATTAGCCACCTTGCTAACTTCAACCTCATATCATTGTATTTCTGGTGCAATATTTACCTTTTCGACTCTACGTGTGTCTCCGCTTCAGTATCCAAAACTCAAAATTGGCCGCTTTTGAAGTATGTTTTAAGTTATGTCCCAGGGTCGTAGCTAAACCATCATCCATTCCCGAGCGCTTGACAATTTGTGCAACGTGAGGCCGGCGCAGCATAACTCCGCCCACTCCGCGATTATTGGTCAGACTAACTTTGGCTCTGTGTGTGATTGGACAGAGCGCTAATAGTGAGCGTGTCTAAACGCCGCGGTTTGCTATGGTTCACGTGGATCCCCATGTTACACAACAAAGAGGCAACAAGCCCGGAATAGAGCGCTCTAGCGCCGATCCACTACAAGTCTTGCGCATCCTTCTTGATATAGCTAACATGTCTGTATCCCCTCTTCTGCAGAATGAGTGAACAGCGGTGCTGTAAGGTCCAGCAATGCATTTCACACATCTTGTAGCCTCCTATTACAAATTGACATTTTAATTTTCTTTTTACCTCTTCGATTGTTGTCAGTTATCTGACAATGACCGATAACAGATCAAAAATGCCACAAATATCACATGCTCCAGGCTCTCAAATGGGAATATGTGCTTCCTTAGCCTTTCTGATGCTCAGTATTTTTTCAATTTTGGAGAACTGATTTCACATTGGGTGCTTGATAATAGTACTGAGCATTTTTCAGCAGACTATTTTGTGACTTTTTATAAACCAAACCATTAGTACATTGTTTAAAAAAAATTGTCAGCTGCAGCAGGTTTTGCTAGTTAATAATCTGGCCCTGATGACAAACTATTATATTTTACAGTTGGCATGGCAAAGCAGCTTACATTTGAGGTTTTTGATACAGTGATGTCAGTTACATCTTTGACATGCAGTATGTACAGTAGCAATAATGCAGACAAGGCTGTATGTGTAACTGGACAAACTGGCAAGTTGCCACAGGCCTTAGGCTGTCAGGGGGGACAAAAGGCTCACGTTTCACCATGTGGTGTTTCTGATAATTTGATTAATTCAAGACAGCTGGAGCTCCAAGCTTGTTTTGTTATTTTTGTCCACCTAGAGGCTCAGTCCAGCCCTGGATGTAAGAAGTGTACATAATAATGGTGACAACAGAAAGGTAAGTAAGTGATGCTGGATTATGACAAGTTTTGTGTTTGTTAGGATTGGGTCTCATGGGGCTGGTAGATCACAAGGCTCAGAGGAGAAGGATATCATACCCCCAAGGTTACTGAGGTAAATAGGTGGTGTTTACTACAATACAATAGATCATGACCCCTTTCCATTTCCCAAAGTCTTTAGCAATGAAATGGCATCATTAGTCAATCAATAGTTCTTAAAAAAATGTTTCTGGTATCAATGAGAGTCAGAAACCTGTTACGCTTTGTATATGATCCACTGAATCTTCATTGGGTTATTAAAGAGACATGGCTCTACCCACAGCTGAGATTTGTCCTGTTACAGATGAGAAGGGGAACAACAGATGTGGCTTTGTGATTCAAGTTAAAATCTGTTTTATTTGAGAGAAAAGGCATTTAGAGTCAAACAGTAGAATTACACTTAACTGGAGATTAACTAGTCTCAAATTTCTGGTGTCCACAACAGAGGATGATTCCATGAATCTGTGATTAAAGTCTAACCTATAAAATCACTTCAGTGGCTTCTGAAAGTGTTTCACAGTTTCCTTAACAACTACAGTTTGGTATTAGTTATGTATACATTATAAAAATGTCTAAAGGGACCACAAAGGTGCTGGTGTTCACTTTAATTACTATACAATGAAGGCCAAACACATGACCGCTAGATGTCTTAAAACTACTGAAAAACATACCAAACGTTGTATTTGAATGGAAATTTCAATTAATGGACAAAGTGAACTGAGCACCAAGACTCATTCAACATATAAAACTGCACAAAGATAACTAATATATCACACGTGAAAAGCATTTTTGCATTAATCAGATGGGATAAACGCCAGTGTAACTTAGCCAAAGACATTATTAAAGATTAATAAGCTCAGCTGATTGATGTAAGCCACACAAATATATTTAGACAGTAGGTGCATTCATTTGTGTAGGTTCTCCATTGGAGAAACCTACTGATGCATCCGTCTAAAACTATATATTCTTGCTTTGTTGTGCTTCAATATTTCATGACGGCAAACGTTCTGGCACTTCCTGGAGAGAACCCAGTTAAGACAATTCATGTTTCAGACCCAGTGTAACTTTTTTTTTTTTTTTTTTTTTTTTTTTAAACATTGACGCGTTCCGTCCAGACTTTGTCAGGCTGCGGAACTGTTGGTCTAAGCCTATAGGCACTTACCAAAACACAAGTTCATAATATACTTAGTCCTGCCTGCAAGAAAGATGGACAAGGACAGGAATTATCAGTTGAAAGGTTCAGGAGTGTGTTACTACTTAGCTCTGTAGATTCTTTAAACATTCTCAAACAACCAGTGCATTTTTTTAAATGAGAAAAATCTAAATACTGGCTTTATACTTTGAAAAGCAGAAGTATGTATGTGTTTGAAAGGGCAGATTTTTAATGATATGCAGAATTACTGTTACAATTTAATCTAACAGTCAACTTCTATATTCAAAGGCACTTATTTTAGCCTGGCACACAAAATCAATGGCTACTAATACATTAAAACAAAGTAATTTAAGCTGAGGAGCATTTACACCTATATTCTTCACCTCCAGTCCTGAGGGTGGAACATGTGTGGATGTGCGTGTGCACTTTATCACACAAAGATAGCTCATTTATACTCTTTTTATTTTTAAAGTTTAAGATGATTAAGGTTTAATTATGAGTCTGTTTGTGTATACGTTAGTTTTCTTTGGCACGTGGCATGGCACTGATGTAAATTTATTGATGTTTAGTATAGTGTAGTATTGTGTGGTAAAACACTGGTATTATGACAATCCTTTAATCAGGCACATGTGTAAATGCCCATACACACACACACACACACGGCAGTCCAGCACAAGGAATGAAGACCCCTGCAGAAGGGGAAATATGTTGTGGAGCTCAGTAGCAGGTAATCATATGAACTCCTCCTCTGAGACCATAAATATGTACATTGCTCCTGTTGTCTTCTTCATCGTTTCCTGCTCCTGTTCTGTTTTACGAGTAATTCCAAACTGTGAATGAAGTGAGAACTTTTTAGACAAAAGACCAAGTTTTACCACTGAAAGCCTGTAAATGTAATAACTGGCAAGGTTTCTCTTATTTAAATATATGATAGATCAAACATATACAGTATGGATCAACTTCAACAACCCAGAGCTGTAAAGTAATTATAAGTAAAACATGACATATTAAAGGCTACAAGCAGTAAACTTACTAAAAAGAGACCCTTTAGATCACTAGACATAATACAAATCAATATTGTCAATAACAAGCTTTACAAACCAGAGGCTGGATACTCACTAATAATGATGGCAATGATGATAACTATGACAGCTATCAGGATGGCCCACATCTGCAAGGTTTAAAGGTACAGTAAATTCAGTGTTTTACACACACACACATTACCTGGAATTAAGTTGCCTATCTAAAAGTAAACACTTATCATTAGCAGGGTTTATAAATACTAATATAATTTGTTTCACTTCAGTTCACAGTTATAAAAAGCAAATACAGTAAACGGTATGTTGTGCACTCAATTTTCTTTGATACTGATTAATCAAGTGATCATGAATCTCCATTTAAGGACATCTCTCTGTGAAGACAATAATTCAGACCATTTCTAGCCTAGTCCTACCCTACTTGTGGTATGGAGTTCATATAAGATCAGAGTTATCACTGTGTCTAGGCACCTTGCAGTTCTTCCACCAGTACTTCCTCTTCAGCTTAGCAGCACTGGTCTCAAACTGGGAAGCTCCAGCCTGCAATGCATCTGCTCTGTCATCCAGTTCTGACAGCTTCTGGTCACGTTCCAACACTTTGTCCACATTAACACGCATTATATCCACCACCTACTCAAACACACACATGAATACAACACCTAGTTTAATACCAGTACTTTCTTAATGTGCATTTCTAACTATACAGGATCTAAATGCTGGGTAATCCAGACAAGACTTCATTGATGATTTAGTTCTTTATAACTAGAGAACAGAGAAAAAGAGTGGACATGTACCAATGTACTGTACAGCATGATGACATCAGTGATTTAAGGGTTAAGAAACTTCTAATAGTGTTACCTAACAAAAACACCAATCAGGAGAGCTGACATCTTGCAAGGTTAAAAAAATAATCTAAATGTATACACACACACACACAGAGTTCACCAAGAGTCAGATGCATATGGATGTGCACACAGTGTTACAGAATACAAATAACCCACGTTCCAGTGATCCACAAACCCCACAATGGCCCCCCCACCACTCAGACAGAGCCATAGGGTAGAGAGAGGAGTGTGTAAGCCCATGTGGGCCTTACATAACGCTGGACACAAGGATTACATAAGATCCCGGCAGCCAATGGCAGGCTTTATGTGGCACACCAAGTTTAAAGCTCTGTGCAGGAGGGGCTAATCTGAAGCAGGCCACAAGTGTGAAAGAGAGAGGGGCAAAAATAAATGGAATTAAGTGCGAGACCAAAGACTGAGCACGACTTGGCAGCCATTTCTCCCTGATGGCCTCACTGACATAGTTTTGAATACACTTTATAAAAACTGGATAAGAGATGGCTTTCACTAAATGTTCTCTGATTTGTGAAGAAGAACATTAGAGTTACTGATTCCACATTAAAAACAAACACATGAAGAATTTGTGCATTCCTATGCATACCTTAATTGAGATCATTATAAAATGTTTTTGGATTATTAATATCAAGTGTGGAAAAAGGTTTGGCGCTTAACTGGATCTTGTAAGCCGGGGCCCATAAAAACAGCATTGGGGATGATGAAAATTAATTTAAGGATGAACTTGAGACACAACTTGGGGGAGAAAAAACAAAAACACACACACACACACACACACACAAACAAAAACAAAACACTAACATTACCATGAACAGCAGTGAAAATAAAACTGCATGTTTTGTGCATAAAGCAAAAAGTTCTTAGTCAAACCATTTAATACACACGTTGCCCTAAATGTCACCACCATCACCGACTGTCACTAAATGTTAGAGTGATGCATAATGGCAATGGCGTTCCATGGTGGGACACTTGGATTAGTGTTCGAAAATGCTCAGCAGAGCCAGACCCTACCCTCACAACAGCCACAGCTGAAATGTCAAATTCAACCAACCAAATAAGGCAAGCTTGCTAGCATTAATGTTACCTTAGCAGTTAATGCTGGACAATTTAAGTTACTGTTATTTGACAGCTAAGGAGTCAGCAGTCGACATTTGCATTTACAGTGAGCTGACGAGCATCTAGCTAGCTACCTTAGTAGCTAGCTAGATGGTAGTATTACCTCCACCAAGGAGGTTATGGCTTTGGTTCTGTGTGTATGTGTTGTTTAGCTGGAATATGGACAAACGGCTGGATGGATCATAAGCATACTTGGTACAGACTTTGGTGGGGACCAACCCTAGAAGTGATTAGATTTTGATTTTGGTCACAAAAACATTTCACAAAAAAAGCTATCTTTAAACATGGGGCAAAATTTAAAAGATTCACATCTCCATCAAAAGTTTTTGAAATTTGACACTCATACATAGGGTGCCAACTTCTGTCACCAGACCAAATAGGCTATACACAATATAGTAAAATGTGTACTTTTTTTATTTGCAGATTGCTTCAGATGCCTCCAGCTCAAGCAAATATGAGCCATCAAACCATCAAGCTTTTTAAAACTTTGATGGTTGATCATCTAATGATGTTTTATCTTAAAAGACACTGAATAATTTTATAATGATAGAAAACAGTAATAGATCATAATAATTTAGAACACCAAACACTGAATTTGGGACAATCAACATACCATTCTGGGCTACTGTGATAGAATTCTGGGATAATTCTGAAAGGACTGAGACAATATTTAAGAGCCCTGATATCATACCTCATCCACCTGTGCCTGGGTTTGCTGCAAGCGCCTATTGCCTGACGCTTCACCAGAACCTTCTGGACCGAGGGCTGACCTGGTGAAATAATGAAAATTAAGTATAAATATTAGCCTTCTGTGCATTCTGTTGCATACCATATACCTTTAATCTCCATCTAAAATGTTAATGCATGTATTACTTCACTTCAGTGGCCACACAAACAGGTTCAGTGGCATTTGATTTTGGTACACCAAGAACTACAAATGCACAGTAAGCAGTGTCTTCAGAACAACAAACAGTACAGTAGGTGACAATTAATCCACCCTCACCTTAAAAAGCATACAAGATAGTCTGTCATGTACAAGGAAACTGCTGCCAATTACCAATGACATTTTTGGCCATTAAATTATTAAATAAAAAGCACTTTTTGAGGTCTTGTTTTTGTGTTTTATATCAGCGTGGGTTGTTTAGCAGGGATAAATCTCTATAGGAGACAGAAAGGTTATATTATGCTGTATGTGAATAGATCCTGTGCTCGTGCTCTAGTTTGTTCCTCAACTAATAATTGTACTTATTATGTTCACTGGTCTGTTTTCACTTTTCTGTTGTCTGGATCATGGGTACAGTGCAATTTGAAAAAGAAAAAAAAAAGTCATATGAGAACTGAGGGTGGACTGAATATAAGCCTGGAGGTGAATTTGACAAGCAAGAATAGGCCACATATATGCTTCATACCATTGCACTGCATTACAACAGTCAAATAGTTGACAAGAGAGAGCTGGATGAAATACATGGGGAAGAAATGAACAGCTATGGAATTTGGATATGACATTGTGCACCGAAATGATCTAAGACTGCAATTTTAGTCTTGATGTGTCTCAACAACTTCAGAAGATTGTTCTAAATGAGGATAGAAATAGAGACAGCAGAAACCACAAAAAAGAAATCATACTACTTGTTTAAATTAATTATTTATATCCCTTATTTAGAATTCCTGGGTTTAATATGCCTTGCTGGGCTCAGTAGCGCTTTTACAATGGTTAGCTAGTGCCACCCTCTGACTTGACACAGTATTGGTCTTCATTGACCACACTCGGTGTAAGAAAGACCTCACACACTTTGATTTTACATCAAACTATGAGGATTATTATGGCTCAGTAAAAGAAAGCATTGCAGCCTTTCACAGAATATGATCAGATTCTGTCCACATTCTAAGAAACTCAGATGAGCTATAAATGGATCACTCCTTCCCTTTACATACAAAACAATTACCACACACAGGAAGGCACACCCATGCATACTAAAATACAAGACATTTCCTATGTGAAAAACATTCCTTATACAAAACAGTAGTATCCCCCTGTACAGAAAGCAATAAACTGAACATTTTTCTTCAGTACAATATTATGAGTATAGCCCAATATCACAATCACAATTTGCCTCAAGGAGCTTTAGAATCTGTATAACATACAACACCATCTGTTCTTAGACCTTCAAATAAAAACTCTCCAAAAACAAACACAAAAAACAACAACAACTCTTTAACAGGAAAAAAAAAAGAAACCTCACAAAGCACAACAAAACAGGGAATCCCTCATCCAGAACAGACGTCACTAACCCTGCTGCAGGGCACAGGTCTAGGAGTCCAAAGGATCAGGGAGCCTCTAGACCAGAGCTTCTGTATGAAGTGACTTAACATTTCTTGTTGGAAATGTCAATCAACAAACAGATGCAAAATGAGCCTGATGCAAGGCAGTGATAAAGAGATACAAATTGAGCTCAAGAACATGTAAAACAACCTAAAAAAAAAGTAAAAACTGTCAAAAAGAACCACAGAACAACTAAAAAGAGAAGTTAAATAACAGGAGGTTGGAAACAGGTGCATGTCAAAAGAAATTAGGAAGTGGCTTTTTCTGCTGTATATTTTAGTTAGAATATCATGTTCAATAAATAGTGACTAATACAAATAAAACAACCACTGTACTAACTATAACCTTTTAACCACCCAATCATATAGATATATACGTAATTATTAACTCGCATTACTAGCAACAGGTAAGTTATGCAACAATACGTTTGCTGTTTTAACCACTACCTGTGCTCTGTGAAAACTTATTTCCAATTACAGTTGTGACATTTTCAACCACAGCTAAACGATGACAACGTTTCGGGTTATTTATTATGGATATATAATATCGCACTTAATATCCAGGCCAAACTAAGCCAAAACCTGGACCCGGTGGAAATAGCTTTTAACTATCGGATGCAAAGCTAAGTTAGCTAGCATGAAGCGCAACTGTGGGCGTTATACAAGCCTATAATCCGTATTACAATTTAAACTAGCTACTTAACCTAACTAGAAAAGGAGTGATGACATAGTTTGTGGTGGGCAATGTTATCAAATTGCAACGTAATTGACGTTGCTATAGCTAGCTTAGCTGTATTTGGAAAACAAATGTCCTAGCACTTGTTGCATGCCAAGAGCTAGTAGCAAAGTTTTGGGCGTTGTTTTTTTTCTGTGATTCTGTTTCACCAAAGTTCCCGGATGGCCTGTGTGTTAGACAAAGTTTGACCATCTAACATCGGATTAAAAAAAAACTTTGGCAGAGACATAATAGACTTACATAATGAGATGAAATATCTTTGAACGACACCTCCAGTGCTTCTGATGAGTAAGCTAAAGCTAAAGGGTAAAGCCGTAACTGTTACTGCTGTCGGATGTTATGCTGCCTTCCTGTCGTCATAAAATAGGAAAATTTAAGCGTATGCAAACGTCAGACGTCACAAAATAGTTAATGTAGTAGTAAGCAGAACAGAACGAAATTTCTTTCCTACTCGAAATAGCAAACGTTGACGACAATTGGTAGTAAGATTGTGTAGTCTGTCGGATCATTTTAATGTATAAAACCTTCATTGTAAAGTCAGTTCGTCTTTTTGTATAATTTTCACATTACTTCTGTAATATTGTGCAAAGTAACTAAGTGCACCTTGATTGTCCATTTAAAATACCATACAAAAACCGGCTCGAATGACCTGGTACATTTTGTTTTTAGATTAAAAGACCTGTGTTTCATTCTTAATGTGTAAAAGTCTGAACGTAACGATGAGCACGTTAACGCAACATCAAGGGGGTATTTTCCTGTAGCCTCTCTGCGTAACTACAATTAGTTTATATATTAAATTATAGCATAAAAGAGAGAAATATAGGCTTCTTTAAAATATGACAAGATGTTACATTAGCGACTAAATAGAAGAATGATGCCTCACATCTCTGTATTTTTTATCCTTCATTTCAATGGTCCAGCAGTGGAAATACCAGGAGAAAGCCACCATCAAAGCCCATGATTACCATGTGACACATGGGAACTACAACTACTCTAGGCATTTTGTTTGTTTGAATACAAACGGCTATTTTTTTTTTTGGATAGTTAACTCCCAAGTGATAAATTTTTCTCACACCCAGTGGCACTATTAAAAAGTAATTACAACTTTGAAGAAAATAGTGAAAGAACATAACAGAGGACACACAAGGGGTCACAAGTGCAATCATTAAAAGGTGAGACAAAATCAGCAAACTTTAATGTCATTTTATTAAATTGTTTAGAGCTCATATTTGTTAGTTTTCCCTTAATGTAACATGCACATAAGCTTTATTTTCTATTTTCACACACTGGAACCTTCTTTTTTTATTTCCAACTCAGTAATGTATCAAATACTAAATTTAAAACAATAACAACATGAGATAATCAGTGAAAAATGCTCTTTAAATTGACTAGCTTTTTTTTTTACTTATTAGACATGCAAATTGATCATTGCAAAAAGTCACCCTCTTAATTTTATAAATGCTATGTTCAAGGATTGTACCTTATCTCTGTGATTATACATTTTTCTTTTTTTTTTGTTTTCAATTTATATTCAATCAAGCAAAGTTGCATTTAGTGATAAGACGGTTTGAGAAACCCAAACTTCCTTCAGCATTGTCATCTTGTGCTCCTCCTCTCGGCTACATCCCAGATCCTTCATCCACCACAGCTTGGATTCCAGGGCTTTGCTGCAAGACAGAAGTGTTTTTATGCAGCATTGAAGTGGCTTTATTCACAAACATCTTGATTAATGTGACAGCATAATGAAGTTAGGATTCAGCATCAATCTATAAAAGCTTACATAGTTCTTAGCAGCTCCTCTGTCATACAGCAGACTGGGATCATCCTCCTGTAAATTTGTTGATATGTTTATTCCAAATTTTTGGACATATTACACCAACAGTATCCATGAGGTATTTTTGCCAGTGGAGGTCTCTGTTGGTTTATGGCACAGTTTTATGTAAAACAAGTTGACAGGACAAATCTATCTAAATGTGATGCAACATGACAGAACACCTCTCTGTTGGCTTTCATTCTGGTCATCTGATATTTGCATCAGGTGCACTAAGAAGCAAAGTCAATGTTAATGTCCTGCCTTTGGCTTGCAAGAGGAACACAGTAATGGGAAACACCCCAGGGACTTGCTTGACTGAGTTACACTTTATCCCTGTCGAACAGAGGAGTGCTTCTCATCTCTGAGTCCAGGTTCTGGACATGGTCTTTAACCATGATGCTTAGTTTCACGTGAATAGTATCGCCCTCTGTGCAGGGACAGAATGATGACCCACTTTTAGTTGAAACTTTCCTGTACTTTCCTTACTGACATTTAAACTTATTTTGAAAAATGAGAACCTGGAGAGAGGAATTCTGTGCAAAAATGTTTTATTCTGAACACTCCAAATAATCAGACATCAGTCAAAATTATTTATGTTCAGTGTCATAAGAAAAATGTTGAATAATTTTACCATTTATACAGAATCTGTCAACATGATTGAATCTCTCTCAAACCTTAAGACAAACCAGTCAAAAGTAATTTCATGATATTAAAAAAATGGATATGTTGATGAGTAGATTTATCACTATTAGGCTAACCTATGTTATCTGGCCCAAAATAATAAGTACTATGTATCACCAGTGAAGCAGTTTGAGGTTCAGCTGAGAATATATATATTTGCTGCTCGTTTAAAACCGTAACTGTAAAATTGGTTTTCCAGTGCAGTTTTGGATTCGGGAATCCTTTATTAGCACAGCATGTAAAAGAAGAAAAAATCATCAGAACTTACATATCCTACATCCACTTCCATCAGTTCTCCAACCTCACTGACCTCGGTGCTGCAGCCTCCAGGAAAACACTCTGACGACTGCTTTTCTCTTATTCTCTGCAGGAAGTCAGAAGCTGCCGATTTTCTCAGCAGCGCTAGTAGGCAAACAGGTGGCACAAAATGGATTCATTAATTTCTCAGATGAAAGCTGTGGTACCATCTTGATCTATCAGTGCTGTGTTATTTCTAAGAAATTTACTCTCACCTCCCTCACAGATGTACATGATGGTGAGCATCACAGTCAGCAGTGTTGTAGCCATGTCCTCATGCAGACTCTTCATGTAGTGGCCCCCTTTCAGCTCCTGGCATTTTTATGTTTGTCACCTGAGAAACCCCCCCACATCCATCACCGTTCCAGCAGCATTCCTGAGGGAACATCAGGCATCAGATTTATACTGAGTAGTGAGGAGGGAATAAATGTGTGAGTGTGTGAAGAACACTTCATAAATGCTGTATCAGTACAATGTTCTGAGGGCCATAGAAACCATGAAGAGTGATAAAAAAAAATATGTTGTTTGTCTATTTGTATTTGGGGAGTGCAAGGTCCTATGAACTGTTTTTTAAAGATTTTTTTATCATTTTGAAATTTGAAAACTTATATTTGCTGTTATGAGTAATTTTTCTTGCAGTATGACTGGTGATAATTCACTGTGACACACTGCAGAATGTCTGAACAACAAAGAAAAGTGTAGCTTTCAAGTGCAGAGGAATATCATGGAATTATGTCTTGGAACTTTAAACATTTTAATAATTGTTTTTGAATTATCAGTAAGTAGAATGACTGCAATATGAATAGGGTTGCTTGTAGTAATTAATGCACAAAAAATATTAACTCATCTAGAATTGGGGGGAAAAACAAGCTTTGAGAAGCCGTGATTCAAGCATCTAAAAGTGTGTTGCATTCATACAATATTTTGTAAATCTGCAGAATCATACTGCATATGGTTCACACCTACAATAATAGTGATGGCAAAGTATGTATCTATATCTCATGGAAGCCATAGATTATTTCAGACCTTGGATAAAAACACTGTGAAAAATCCAGCCTTGGTACAACTACAGTGATACCATCACAAATCAAATCCATGACCTCAGCTTAATCAGGACATGACATTTGTATTTGTAAATCTTCTATCACCACACTTAAAAGATGGCAGTTAGGTGGCGGTGGAAGATGGACTGATGATATTCTAGGTTTGCGGTGTTAGCTGATCGGCTGCACTGCAGGAACCTTACACAGTTAAAATTTCTGCTCGTTCTGCTTTTTTTTTTACATACAGCAGAAACAGATTTTTCTCGATTACCAAAATGTTGTAAGCTGTGGGTCATCAGGTAAAATCATACACAGTCCCTGCCTGTATAGCTCTTCAGCACATTATGCTTTCTATGCGATGGTGGATCTGTTGCTGAAAGGAAGATACTGATGTGCTTGTAGGCTTAAACCACAGCAGTCTGCAGTGCATCTGAACAAGGATGACCAACTGTAATGATCAATGCATTAAGGGCTTGATGCTTACACAGTATTTTGATCAGTATTGTTGTCAGGTTTTCAATGGTGTGTATTTTGCAACTGATTTACAACTGAAGTGGCAAATATAAAACAAAACGAGCTGTACTACAGTGATGTGTTCTGTTAAAACCTACACTTTATTATAATCAAATATGATTATATTCCTTGATGTTTTAAGTTAAGCAAGAATGCAGGATGCACACAGTGACAATATTGCAAAGGCGCACCTGCTTGGAGTCAAATTTAGAATATTCTGATTCATAGCCAGACACATTATCTATTCCTATATCCAAGTTATGATGCATCAGTATTTAATCATTTGTATTGTGGGCCAAAGACAACTCTCCAGAAAACTGCCTCAAAATCCATTTATTACTTTTTGAATTATGCAGTAATACAAAATGTATTAGATATATTTTTTTAACAATCAAAAGTGTACCTCAAGTTACAAAAAATTGAGAACCTGCTACCACCATTCCCATTATGTTATTGTCAGTAACGTTCTTCTATAGTTAATTTTACATTTCGGGATGAAATCAGGTGTAATGCGATGAGGAAGTAGGTATGCATTGTTTATTGCCTGTTTATACTGTTTATTTTGCATTGTTTGCATTGGTTATTGCTTGTTTACACAGTTTTTTTTTTTGTTATATTACACAGCCTTATGTTGTTATATTGTTTACTTGCCCCTTGCTGATGCCTTGCTGGGGATATGTATATGCACATTGAGAGCCACTGTACCAGAGTCAAATTCCTCGTGTCCAACACACCTGGCCAATAAAGCTGATTCTGATTCCGATTCCGATTTTGATTAATCGTGCAATCCAGTAGATGGCAGCAACACTAGATGGACAACTAGACCGCAAAAGAAGAATGTAGGTCAGCGAAACCGGAAACGTTAAACATATGCCTGCGAAGTAGACATTATATATCTACTTTCTAATACATGATGGTTTGCTAATTTGAAGGAGTAAGCAGTCATAACACTGTCCAAGAGCAAACTGCGAATATGACAAATGGTAGGTTTATTGTGTTGTGAAACTAGCTAAGAAGTATTGGTAGCAAAACAGGACATGTAACTTAAGATGGGCTACTACTTCTAAGGAAAGCTAATACGGAAGCTAGGCTAGCTGTAGACGTGGCCCTGGGCATTACTGTCAGTTCTTAGCACCAAGAAATGACTATTTTTTTCTTTTACAGTATTGAATCGCTTAATTTTTACATGTAGACATTCCGTGCACGATTTGCCGTCCCTTGTGCACAGATATTGTCTTCAAACCTCAATGCTGATAACATGGAATTTTTCTATAAGGCTACCTGTTAACTAGCATTTGCTAACGCTAACAAATTTCAGGTGGCTAGCTACAGCACATCAATAATACTCATCTCCTCCACTGCTGATGGGAGTACACGAACGTTTCATTTGATTTGTTTTATTATAAACTTTATTGCAGTTTTAAGCAACTCTGGACTTAACCAGAATAAACAAAACAGTCTAGTACTGTACATTTTATGTTGCTGTTTGAATGACTTTTATGCTAAATAGTAGTCTCAGTATCAAACACAAAGCAGCACTAGCTTAAACATAAACATATGTCTCAGATCTGGACATCAGATCACCGATGTAAATGGAAGATGTCATTGGGTGACAGGTTGTGTAGGTGGTTCAATGGAACAAAACTTTGTGTAGGTGGTTCAATGGAACAAAACTAAACTTACTCCCTGGGCTTGTAGTTTTTGTTTGGGATATTAAAATATAATGAAATACCCATATTTGTGAAAAATGGCCATATGTGTTTGTTTTGGCACAGCATTTCACTATTTTTGGCACAGCAACATTTTTTTCTATATAACATACCCTGTGCAGTCTCTTTGTGTTCTGTGCTTACAAAGAGGCCTTTTTCAAATCCACAATTTAAAATTAACCCATGCAGGGTCAAAACAGGTATGAGTGAATTCTAGTCTAAAGAGGACTTCTCATCACAGGTTGGGACATTTTAGATCATCAGATACTAAGTTAATGCAGACTGGTGCGTGTAGATTTTTTCATGTTCAAGAGTATTGTTTTTGTTGCTGCTCTTTCTTGTCTCATTTAGTTCATCTAATAGATTTGGTTTTGTGCTGTGTGAATTAATTCATGATATTATCCTTTTCTTCTGCAGTGTACTCTTTCGATGGCATCCTGGTGTTTGGGTTGCTCTTCATTTGCACTTGTGCGTACCTCAAAAAGGTGCCTCGCCTCAACAGCTGGCTGCTGTCAGAGAAGAAAGGAGTGTGGGGTGTCTTCTACAAAGGTAGATTTATAATGCATTAACACTATACTGATTCAACACGCATCTGTGATTTCTACATGAAAACTACCTATGGGAATACCACATAGTTGAGAGCACATTTTTTGACAAGTGATGTCTAAAAATATAAAATTAATGGGAATTGTCAATAAAAACTTTGAAATAAACTATTTTGATGCATTAACAACTGCAATTCTTCTTATGTCCTCCTTCTTCCTCTGTACTTTTGCACAATTTAGATCTGTAACATTAACAGCATGGAGCCTTGTGCCATGTTTGTCTTGTGTTGATGCTGTGCTCCATCAGTGTATTTGAAATCAAATAGTGACTCAACTGTAAGCATTAACATCCATTTTTGTCAACAGTGTAAAATAGTTTCCCTCTTTATGTGTTCTACCGAGTTTAGGTTTTATCATTAGTTACTGAGACTATTTCTTCCCTGGTGATGCTCTGCCAGGCCAGTACTATAGCCATCTTCACTTCTTGCTTATTTTGAAGACTTTCTTGCTTCAGTCTCATCTTTACTAAGTACAACTCCTGCCCAGGTGATTTTACTTGAGGTGATTGAGTTTGACAGTAAAAACATTCAATGCTGTCTGGCCATAAAACTCACTGCTGTGGTCTTTTTCACAACCAAAAATATATGTCATAGGCAAGGAATACACAAGTGTAATTAACAGTACTGCATTGTATGTGCTGACTCATTGGCCTACTGGTTCACTGGGATGTTTTAATGGAGCCAAGCTGTCATTAATGTTATTAGTTC